GATAAAGAAGACGGTGTCTGAGACCAGACAGTCACCCCCGGGACAGAGCTGGAGCTCCCCAATGACCCCCTCAGGAGTCCTATTTCTTCTCCAGGTCAAGTCCTGCTGGATCTCTCAACACAGGCTTCCATGGTCCACTGCAGAAACTGAGGCTGAGCTGGCTGAGTGAGAACCTTGGTTTGGGCTGGTAGACAACTCCGTGGGTTAAGGCACCTGCCACCAGCACTGAATGGCCTGGCTGCGATCTCTAAAGGGAAGAACTGACCCTGCAGGTGTGCACTGACCTCCACCCCACCACCCCGTCAATACAAAAGAAACAAACACATGTAACAGAGTTTTTCAAAGGAAATAAGGCTTTACCAACCCTGGAGAGGAGACAAGCAACAGGCCGCTCTTGCCCATGTCAACTCGCCTGGCCCCCACTCACTGCTTTCAAGGATTTGCTTTAGTGGACACCAACCTTTAAGAACCATGGGCCATCCCTGGACTGCCTCCTCTGGCCCTAAGACAGGACAGCAAGGGCCCAGGAGGGAAACACCCAGTCCACCCCTCTGTCATGCGGCTCCGCCCCACCCTCCCCACCCCCCTCCACCCCTGATCAGCGTGGCTGCTGCCCCGACCACACACCTCCACTTTTTATTGAATTGCTAATGAGTCAGGATGGCTAATGAGACTGCTCAGCATTCACCCTGACCCCATCATCCCATCTGGTTGACTGGAACAGAAATTTAGGGAGCGACTGAGGAGACACCACAGGTCTCCCGCTCACTCTCCAGCTCCTTAGGCTTGGGTGCTGAGGCGGGAGGCCCGGGTGGGCACGGGGATGGTGACAGGCCATCAGGGGCAAGGCTAGGCTCTAGGACAGGCCACCTGAGTGGAAGCTCTGCCTGTCACTAAGTGGATCTGTGACCTTGAACAGGTCACTCTCTAGAGTTTTGGGGCCTCAAAGGATGTGGAGGGGATTTTTGGAATCTCACTTAAGCAATGCTGACCAGGATCTACCAGTTCTTTTTTTGTTGTCTCTGTTTTCTGAGACAGGTTTCTCTGTGTAGCCCTGGCTGTCCTGGAACTCGCCCTGTAGACCGGCTGGCCTTGAACTCACAAAGATCCGCCTGCCTCTCTGTCTCCTGAGTGCTGGGATTAAAGGAGTGTGCACTGCTACCATCACCTGGCTAGAACTACCAGTTCTAACACCACAGCCTCACAAGGGCCTTTGGAGGAACCCAGCTCCAAACAAGCAGTGTCCAGTCAAGACTACCCAGGTGCTACCTCGGTACTTGGGTGCCGAAAGCACTCTGTGAGGAAGCCAAGCTTGTAAGTCTCAGCAGCATGGGATCCAGGTACCCATGCCAGTGGAGCCTAAGTGTACCTGCTCCCTCACAGCTGAAACCACGGAGTCAGAAAAGCAGAGGACTGAGCAGGGACAGTTCCGAAGTTCACATGCAGCCCCACCTGCCATAACTCCGGGCAATTGTGCCTATTCAGTTGACCTCATGGGGTGGGGGGAAGATCCAGAATACACAGGCTAACAGCAACTCCTTTTTGTTGTTGTTGATGTTGTTGTTGTTGTTGTTGTTTTGAGACAGGGTTTCTCTGTATATTTTTGGTGCCTGTCCTGGATCTCGCTCTATAGATCAGGTTGGTCTCGAACTCACAGAGATCCGCCTGGCTCTGCCTCCTGAATGCTGGGATTAAAGGTGTGTGCCACCGCCACCTGGCTAACAGCAACTCTTCACAACCCAGCCCCCATCCCACCCTTTGGGAGGTTTTCCTATCAGGGGACCCACTCAGCCATCAGTTCTCCATCTCCTTTGACCCTTTGCCAGCAGAGAGAAGGCTGCCTGAGGGAGGCAGAGTGCAGGGCCCATGGGCTCTCAGTTCCTTCCCACTGTGAGCAGACACAGGGCCAAGTCTAGTCCCTTCTCTCCAACTCACGCTTGGACCCTGCCTCTAACTGGCCACAGAAGGCCCCTTCATCCCCCTCCATCTGTGCCAACCAACCAGGCACACTCTGGGAGCCACATGGGCAGTTATTAATAGAGTGCTCGTCCTTCCCAGGGTGGGTGGCCCAGGAAGGAATTCTGGACTTGAAGGCCATAGACCTGGGTTTGGACCCAGTGGCACTAGGGTCTCAAAAGTGCCTTCTCTTTGATTCCCGGTTTCCTTGCCTACCTCTAGTAGGACTGAGGACTCTCTGGAGGACAGGGCAAAGAGCTGATAGCCTCAGGGCTGAGCACACAGCGGGGAGGCAGCACTGGCTTTCTTTTCCACCGAGCCCAACCCTACCTAGCCAGCAGCACCAGGTTAGCATGCACATGGCTCCGGGTTCAATCCACAGCACGGGGGGGTGGGGGGGTGGGGGGGGGTGGGGGGGGGGTGGGGGGACAAACAAACCCAAAGAAAGCAATTGGACAGGCAGAAAGAGCAGAGCTGGAACAGAAGTTTGCAAAGCTGTGACAGAACCTGCTTCCCTTGCTGCCCAAGTGTCCGGGGATCAAGGGGAAGGGGGGAAAGCAGGGGGAAAGCAGAGGGAAGAGCTACGCCAAGGCTAGGGGCTGAGCATGCCCTGCCTTTCTTGGAACCTCAGTCTCTCCCTGTGTAAAGTGGGGCTGAGCCTGCTGGCTTTGACTCTTGGCCCTGTAAGTTAGGCCCCTTGATGTTGTCTACCAATGGTAGACACAGGCACCTCCCGCTAGCAACTACCACACCAAATAGAAACCCAGCTCAGCCCCATTGTCCTCCCCAGAGGCCCAAGTTCCCAGAATGGTTTGGCTTGGATGGGGCATTGAGCTGGGGGCTCCACAGAGGCTGGGCCAGAAGGGAAAGTTAACCCTTAGTTGGCCCTTCTCCCCTCTCTCCTCCTGGCCCTGAGCTATTTCTACCTCTATGCTAGGGATGGAAATAACTTGGGCTCAGCCCCTGGAGACCAAGACAGCTATTTTCAACAGCCCCAAAAGCACAGCTCCAGTCATTCCGGGGAGGACTGAGGGACACCCTGATCCCCAGCCCCAGATCCAGCCCCAGCCCGAGCATCAGCAGTGCTCAGAATTAGAAGGGTTGTCTGGGAGGAATGGGGATTGGGCAGGGTACAAGCACAAGGTCACTCCATCTGCTCCCCACCACAGCAAATGGGTGAGTCAAAGACACGGGGATGGGGACCTGTCAAGTATGATGAAGGTCACTATCGCTGCCACCCCTGGGCTGTGTAGCTTACTCCAGCTACTTCAGAGCCGGGACTTTCTGGTGATCTCGAGCTCAGGGGGAGGGAAGGAACAGGAGGACCGTGTAAAACACCCACTTGCAATTTGCCAGCCATGTGTGCACACAAATCTCGCTGCAAACTCATAATGGGACGGACACCTATGCCAGGCCTGCCAGCCCAAGTGAGAGCTAGAAGCTCGGCTAAGCCATGAGCAATTACCAGGAGGGTGGTGATCCCCTCCAACACCTCCCAGGGTTAGAAGACTTGAGTTCCAGTCTTGGCGCTGTCCTGACTCTATGTGACTTTGGATGCCACTGTGGTTCTCGGAGCCTCAGTTACTTTGTCTCTAATTGTCACTGTGTCTCAGAACCACTGTAAGGATTCAATAAAACCGTGCATTACAAAGTGTTTACAGCAGAGTCTGCCACTGCCCCCTCAAAAAGTCAAACCATTTTCAGCGGATTACAGAAAGCGGAACCTCCACAGGCATATTCCATCAGGTGTGGTACCCCACTGCCACCTCTGGAGCTAGGGAGCCCAGCTGCACCCATTCTCCGTGAGTTGCACAGCCCCTCTTGTGGGAGCACAGGGCCTCAGAGCGGTCTTTCCCAGATGGACAGAACTCCAAGACCAGACCAGAGACCATGCACTGATGGAGGACAAATATTCCCTCCCTCTCCAAACAGGGAGCTGAAGACGAGACCTGAGTAGAGAATGTCTTTGGATTGAGATTTCAGGATCTAAAAGACCAGGCGGCTTTTGAGTGGGAATCTGATACCTTTCCCAACCTTTCACTAGCACATGGGTGCAAACTTTCGACCACTGTATCACCAGCAGAAATCTGCCCCCGCCCCCACTGCAGTCCTTCTGCCTGGAGGGGAAAGAAGAATGGAGAAGACTGACCCCAAAACAATAGAGGATCCTAAAGTGATGATTCACAGGCTATTCACACTTCTGTGCAGGCTGGGAGACTGAGGCCCAGCACAGGCAGATTCTGATAACAAGACAGAGGATACAGAAGGCACCGGCCAGATGTTGAGGACTTTGGTGTGTGTGTGAGTGTGGAGTGGAGATTGAAAACACCTCAAGTCTTCTCTGTGCTAGAGGTGCGATCCCACCCCGTGGCGCCCAGCTTGGCCTCCTCTTCCTCTGCTAGGTCGTCTCTGGGTGCAAACAACTCACTAATCTGAACTCCTGCAGGGTGCCTTCGAGAGAGCTTTATTCCCTAGACTCCCGATCTTCCTTGCCCCCTCAACTGCTGGAAGCTGTCTCCTTCTGTCTCCTTACTCTGTCCTGAGTCAAGCAGACAAACACACACACATTCTCTCTCTCTACTTGGCTCCTTACGCACCCTGTGACCCCGTGATTCAGGGCTTGCTCAAGTTATTTAAGGTTCCTCTCTTCTACCTTATACTCACAATTTTTAGTGGCCTTAGCCCCGGTCAAACTGCAGGCCACACACAGTGACCCAGCGACCTGGGGTCTCTCCCACACACAATCACATACATACACTCCTCCTGTCTCAGACACACAGAGCCCCTCTGTGTCGCCCGCTAGGCTCGGCGTCACCGCCCAGTGTCCCAGCCACACGTTTACCCGGGCCAGGCCGCCTCATGCGCCGTGTCACCCACAGTCACGGGCTGACACCGTTCAGAACCCCCCCTTCCCGGCAGCCCCGCGTTGCAGCCGCACCGAGGCGCCGCCGTGCCGTCCTGCAACCGGCTCTGGTGTCAATCCAAGTTCCTGGGTTCCACCGACCCCCTCGCACGCCAAGTTCCGCCTGCTTCCTCTCGCGCACCTTCTGACAGACTGCGCAGCGCCCGGGGCGGGGAGGACGCGCCGCCGGGGGGCTCCGGGACGCGCGGGAGGCGCCGGGACGGGACAGGACAGGGCAGGAGAGTGGGGCTGCCGCATCCGCAGCGCGGGAGAACTTCCTCAGGGCAGCAGAGCGGGGCTGCGGGCCGAGCGCGCCCTCCTTACCTGGCCGGCAGCACCAGCTCCGCTCCGCGTCCGACGCGGCACCCGGGCCCCGTTAGGCGAGCGCTCCGGGCCGGCCGCGCAACCTGCGCGCCTTTTGAATGAATCGCCGGCCTAGCGGGGAAGCTGCGCGGCCCCGCCCCTCGCGTCACGGCCTCTGGCCCCGCCCCCGACGTCAGAGCCCGGACTTGCGGCCCCCCTAGCCCGGCGCCCCCCAGCCGGCCAAGGGCTCACGATTCTCCCGCCAGGCCGCGCCGCTCTACATCGCCCCCTCTCGAGCCTCCTAGGCACTGCAGGGGTTGCGCGCCACGGCCTGGCGGCGACCGGGATGCTTTTCCGAAGCGTCCCTTTGCGGGGGAGGAGTGGAGGGGGGAGGTGGGGGCTCCAAATCAAGAAATTCGGGCTTGTGTGAAAAGGGGCTCGAGACTTGAATGCTGCTCAGGTACTGTCACCATTGTCTGCGTTACGAGAGCCACAGCGGCCACTTCTTGGGAACCGTCTTACTTTTGGACTTGGTTGCCGATGAGAACGACCTCAGTGTTTTCGATGAAGCCCAGGTTGGCTTCTAGAATCCCCTACCTAGTTTGTAAGAGAGTCCATAAGGAATGCTCACCTGGTGAACTCCTTTGGAACCTGGCCCAAACCACCCTCTCCTCCAGAGCAGCTGGTGGCACCTCCCCCAGGTAGGTCAGGAGACACTCGTCACCCTAACACCAACTGTGTGGCTCTTTCTGTCACCAATGCCAGCTATCAGAGTGCCCAGGGGAGGCCAGGAGTAGAAGTGTAATCTCAGGACTTGGGAGGCTGAGTTAGGAAGCTCCAGAGTTCCAAGCCAGCGTGGACTACATATCGAGACCTTGTTTCACCAACACTCCAACAAACCAAAACAACAACAAAGAATGCCCAGAACTAGGAGACATAGCTGCAGAAGCCGGGGCACTACGTGCATTGTGTTCTTGCCTCTGTAAATTGTGTCCCTGAGTGGCAATGGTCTGTCAGGACTAGAAGCAGCCACTCAGCTGCCATAGCCTCCCCCCACCTCCACCCCCACCCCCACCCCCGCGCGCCCCAGTACATTCAAAGGATTGAAGGTGGCCAGGAGAGCAAGGCTGGGGAGGAATTCAGACAGCGCGGAGGACCTAGAGCTGGGGATAGAGGCCTGGCTGGGATCAAGATAATCACAGCTCACTAAAGAGGCTGAAGAAGGTAAATAGGTCTGTTGGGAATAGCTGGGCTGGGGTGGGATTCTAAATAAACTGAGTCATAGAATCTGAGCCCCAGAGCGGAGAAGAAAGGTCAGGTCCCCAGAGTCTGGGAAATTCCAGGAGGAGAACCAGACACCTGAGTGAAGAGAGGGAGGAGAGAGTTTCCATCTCCCTGGCTGAGCCCAGGTTTCTGGGACAGAGCAGAAAGTTCCAGGTTCCTGGTGTCAAAATGAAGATTCCAGCAGGCCTAGCTGACATGTGCTTTGAATCCTAGAGCTCTGGAGGCAGAGACAACCAGATCTTTGTGAATTCTGGGCTAGCCTGGTCTAGATAGTGACTTGCAAACCAGCCAGGGATACAAAGTAAGACCCTGTCTTGGGGGGGGGGGGAAAGACCCCAGCCCATTCAATGTCAGTTGTACCCCCCAAATCTGGGGACAGGGGCTATCCCAGGGCCCCACATCACAGTCCATCGAGGAAACCCACAGTGGGGAACAGTGAAGCGCCCAGAATAGCCTGGATGTCCTCTACTTCCGGATTTTTTTTTCTTTTCTCTTTTTTTAAAAAGGTTTATTTATTATGTGTACAGTGTTCTGCCTGCATGTATCCCTGCAGGCCAGAAGAGGGCACCAGATCTCATTATGGATGGTTGTGAGCCACCATGTGGTTGCTGGGAACTGAACTCAGGACCTCTGGAAGAGCAGCCAGAGCTCCTAACCTCTGAGCCATCTCTCCAGCCCCCTCTTTTCTCTTTTTGAGACATGGTCCCTCTATGCAGCCCTAGCTATGTATGTAGACCAGGCTGGCCTCGAACTCACAGAGACCCACCTGCCTCTGCCTCCTGAGTGCTGAGATTAAAGGTGAGCGCCACCATGCCCATCTTTCTAAATTTTATTTTGTTTTAATTATCTTGTTATATTTTATGTATATAGGCATTTTGCCTGCATGTATGTCTAGGTACCACTTGTATGCCTGGTACCGAAGGAGGCCAGAGCAGGGCATCTGAAGTTACACATGGTAGTTAACCTCCATGTCAGTACGGTATGGGAATTGAATCTGGGTCCTCTGGAAGAAAAGTCAATGTTCTTAACCCCTGAGCCATCTCTCCAGCATTATTATTATTATTATTATTATTATTATTATTATTATTATTATTATTATTTTAACTTGGATTCTGGGGATTGAACTCAGGTCACAAGCAGTTTACCAACTGAGTCATCCCTTAGCCCTTTTTGAAATGTTTTCTTGGTGTAGGAACATTCTATATGCCAATTTTCAAATTCCAAATGACGGTATTTCAGGTCCCACTTAATAAATAGTCCAAATAGGAATGTAGATTTGTTTTTAATGGCTAATCTGACTTCCCAAAAGGGCCCAGGCCCATCTCTACTAACAACTCTTTGGGAAACTTTGATCAAATCCCCCTCACTCAATGAGTCTGCGCCTCTGAAAACTGGGACACCCAACCCATTGCCTGAAGGTCACTCTCATTCTCTGTGGAGGAGGCCACCTTCACAGTGCAGATTCGCAGGAGTGCACCTGCCTCACTCCTGCAGCCTTGGTTGGGAAGGAGCCTAATTATTATTTACTGCTGGTTGGACTTGCTGGCTCTGTGTCCAGCTGACGGTGACTCCCAAACCCTTCCCAGCAGGAGCCATCCCCAGGAGTCTGGAGCCACTCTGTAGCTAGGAGACAGAGCAAGAAGGTGACAGCCATACAGTTGGGGCTGGCTTTTTATGGCACTTGGAGAGTCGCTCCGCTCCAGAAGAGAGTTAAAAATCAAAGGTCCTTAAAATCCTGGCATCTCAGGTGACCTCACAGAATCCTGGCACCCACTCTTGAGTGCCTCAGAGACTGTCTTGTGTAAAGCAGCTCACAGTGCAACTGGAGAAGGCTGGAGCTCCAGCTCTTCCTGGCAGGTACTGCAGCAGAAGACCTCAGTAGGGTGGAATGAGTTTTTACAGTGACCCACAGGCAGGGGCAGGGCCTTCAAGTCCCTGCCAGGCCTGCTGAGGTAGAAATCCCGTGTCACACTTTCAGAGCTACCAGGATTCTGTTGCTTGAGAAATCTTTAAACAGGTGGCTGCAGGTGCCCCCTGCCGGCCATACTGGAGCCCCAAGCTGGAAGCACTGTCATTCCTGCTTTTCCAGTTAGTTCCAGAACTCTGCTGGCAGCAAAAATTTCAGATATTCAAGTCCCTTATATAAAATGCATAGAATATTTGTATGTAGCCCATCCAATCCTCCCCTATACTTTAAATTCTTTCCAGATTACTTGTAATAACCAACACAACATAAATGCTATGTAAACAGTTGTTATATTATTTGGACCTGCTCAGGACAGAGGCAACTATTTAAGTCTCAGTTTTCCATCCCCCAGGCATGGTGACACATACCTTTAATCTCAGCACTCAAGAGGCAGGGGCAGGAGGATCTGTGTGAGTTCAAGCTCAGGCTGGTGTACATAGTGAGTTCCAGGATAGCCAAAACTACACAGAAAGACCCTTTCTCAGAAAACCAAAATAATAATAATAAATAAAATTTCCAGACCATAGTTGGTTAAGTCTGAAGATACAGAATTCATGGATAACAAAGGTCACCACTAAACTTACAGGCTACAGGCCTAAGTTTCTTTAAAAAAAAAAGATTGTGTGTGTGTGTGTGTGTGTGTGTGTGTGTGTGTGTGTGTGTTTATTTCCAGCAATGGTGACCTGTGCCTTTAATCCCAGCACAACAGAGGCCTGGTCTACAGAATGAGTTCCATGACAGCCAGAGCTACACAGAGAAACCCTATCTCCAAAAATAAATAAAAATAAAATTTATTTATGTTTCTGGGTGTTTTGTCTGCATGTCCGTATACACATCAGAAGAGGGAATCAGATCCCATGGGGCCATGGGACTACAGTCAGTTATAGACAGTGGTGAGCCATGTAGGTGCTGGGAATTGAACTCAGGAAGAGCAGCCAATGCTCTTAACTGCTGAGCCATCTCTCCAGCACCCAGGCTTAAGTTTCAATGCTTTGCTCTAAGAAGAACCCAAGTAGGCCCTGTCCTACTTCACTGGCATGTTTTAGATCCTGTGGGTGTGTCCTAGATCAATGGGAGGGGTTTAGGCCAAGGTAGAACTGGGGCTAGGGCGGCTAGGACCCAGCGTTGGACAGGTACTAAACTCGGGCTGTCTGGGACTCACTTGGCTCAGCCTACATTTAAGTCTAGACCCCAGGCCAGGTCTGGAATCCCACTGGGTGGGATTGTGTCCTGACTCTGGCCTCACCGACTCCCTCCCTCCCTCGGAGACCCAGTACTCTGTTATGTCTTTGATCTTGGTCCCCACTGGCCCATTTGACTTGTGCTCAGGAAGGAAAGGAGAGGGCTTCTTTGTGCCCTGGGGGTGGGGTGGGGTCCGAGAGAGGAATCTGGAGCCATGAACTGGCTGCTGTCAGTGGGGCTGGTGCAGTTAGGTCTACTTAGGTCAGACTTGCAGCCCAGTTACATGGACAGCTGAGGGTCATGAGGTGCATGGCCATGCCTAGGAAGGAGATGGTTTTGCTGACGTGTTTGAGGTTATGCAGCCTAGAGGAGAGGAATCAGGGGAAATTGAGGAATTTGTGCTTTGGTGTCACACGGATAAAGGTCAAGTCGTAGCTGTGTCCGTGACAGGCTGGGTAGCCTTAAGCAAGTGACTTTATTTTTCTGAGTACACTATCTACAGAAGTCCTCATCAGGTGCATCAGCTTCAAGAGGCCCACTGGGATTTGGAGCCCAGGCTGCCCCCCCCCCCCTTTCTCTGGCTCAGCACTTGCTCTGGGCACCTTCCCAAAGCACAGCATCTAGGGCTCTGCCTGCAGTTATCTCCAAACCTGCTCCCTGGCCTCCTCCGGTCTGTCCCGCAGTCTACTCCTGTCCAGCCTTGGGTACCCGTCTACTTACCTTTGCCCATCAAGGCTCCTCACTGGCCATAATTGGGCCCAAAATAGCACTTCCTCTTGCCACTTCCTGCAACCAGCTTGTGCTTAAGGACAGAGAATTGGTGTTTGGCAAGCAGGCAAAAGATGTGAAGGTCAGTGGGGTGCAGAGGATCAAGAATTTGCCTCCAGGTACCAGCAAGCAGAGTCTAGGGCTGGAGCTTGCTTTCTGATCCTTGGGTACCCCCATGCCCTCCCCAGGCTCAGCTCAGGACTAAGACAGGGCCTCAGTCACTTTCTGCTCTCCTACCAAGCTCCCTAGACCTACACACCAGTATGCCGAGGCTCGCTCCAAGAGTGAGACTCAAGCCACCTAATGTAGCCTTCTGCCTCCTTTGGTCTTTAAAGACATTTCCTGACTTTTCTGACCACGAGAAACCCTTATGGCTAGAGTCTGCTCCTTAGTGTCATCCTGCCTTTCTGTGTGGTGGTCACTAAGTAAGTCCCAGGTTTCCTCTTCCCTGTGAGGTAGTTTAGCTAAATCCTGACTTTGTCTCTAGCCCAAGGGATCTTCAGGAGCAGCTCCTTGAAGAGATAGTCCTTGGCTCAGACTCGCTCCCTTCTCTGGGACCAAGCAGGATGAGTCTCAGAGCAGTTACAAGGAACGTGACCCCACGTGTGACTACATGTAACTCTGGCAGCTCTATTCCCTCCAGCTGCCCTGTGTGGCTACCTCCCTCTCTCCCACGAGGTGTCGGGGATCTGAGCAGAGCACATGGAAATGCAGTTCTGCCTCCTGATAGGTGAGTGACCTTGAGGAAGACATTGAGTTTCCTCATCAGAAGAGTAACTTGTGGCAACCACCTTCTAGGATCATTAAGGACTAGAGGAGCTCAGCTGAGGCGCACAGCAAGCAGCAGAATGAAACTGAGTTTCCTGCTGTCCTGTAGGCAAGACTGACAGCTCAGAGACGTAGCCCGGTGGGAGAATGCTTGCCCAGCATGAGCAACGCAACACCCTGGGTTGATTCCCAACATTGGCGGCAACACACTTCAAACCCCCAGCAGTCAGGAGGCAGTGGCAGGAGGATCAGAAGTTCAAGGTCACCCTCAGCTACAGACCCCCATCTCAAAAAGCAAAAAGGCATACAGCTGTGTCGCAACTGGATTCTCCAACATTTATTTCATTAACCATGAGTTCAACATTTATCGAGCACTTATTGTATGGCAAGTGCCACAGTAGGCTTGGGAATGAAGCCGAGACTGTGCCCTGCCCTCAGAGCGGCCATCCACCTTGCTCTCTCTCTCCCTGCCATGTACAGGGGACTCTCACACCAGGCTCTTGCATCCCTCCTTGCTTCACTCAAACCCCGCTCCTACTTCCTCTCACCCATAATCATGCACTTTAAGGCAGTTCTCTTGTCTGGGAAAACCACACCCCATGGCGTCTCAAGCCTGAGTGGCCAGGAGCGTAAGGGGCTGGGGGTGACAGGTGCCTCTTGGCCTTTACATCCATCTGCTGAGCTGTACACTAGTCTGTGTACTTCCTCAAACAAATGTTAGATGTCAGTGGTTTCCTATGAAAATACCGATACCTGGGTCCTACCTAAGGTTCTCATTTAATTGGCCTTCAGTGGGCCTGTGCCCCCAGAGAGCTATAATGAACAGCCCAGGTTGTAAACCATGTTTTAGGGGAGATAATTCTTCCAGAAGCTTCCCCTGAGGTGAGCCTAAGGCCTGTTCCCTCAGGACCTCCCCATTCACAGCAAACTGGCACAGCCTGAGTGCCGGGCCCCACGGGCACCCGTCCACAGGCCAGCCCATGCTCTGGAAAGTGGTCTTCTAAACGGCAGTGCAATGTGCCAGCCCATTCTCACTGTTTACGTTGGGACAATGGTGCAGACCCAGCCCTGTGCGCCTGGTGCTGAAAGTGAAGTCTGCTCTGGGCCTCTGTCAGGGCAGAAATCCTGGGGTGGCAGAAACAGTTGAAGCATGGAGGGTGACAGCCACCGAGAGAGATGCAGTAACTGGACTAGTGGCAGGGAGGCAGGGGCCTGAGGTGGGTCATCAAGGTCTAGATCACCGGGCCCTGTGACTGCCAGCGCAGGTCTCTAGTAGAGGGCATGCTTTTGATTTTAGGCCTAGTGAACCCCCTTGCATTCCAAGGACTCTACATACCAGCCAAGCATCCTGTAGGGGAGAAGAGGTCATCAGACCCTTTTACTGAGAAAGAAGGAATTTGGTCTGGTCACATGGCTGGTGAGTGGCCGTCAAGACTCCAAACAGAATCTGTTCAGTCCCAAATTCTGCATCCCTCCATTTCATCTTGAATACCACATGAACAGAACCCTCTCCTCACTGAAAACGATGCTAACAAGATGTCCTGGACACATCCTGTGGTGTGGAAGACCCAGCAGGCCCCTGAAGGGTGTGTGTGAGTTGTAAAGCACGCACCTACACTTTCCCCCTTTTCTTGTCCCATTTTGGGGATTGGGGAGCGGGGAGGTTTTGCCTCGTAGACCAAGTTGTTGGTTTTGTTTTGAGACGGGGAGGGGTCTCACCATTTAGCACTGGCTTACCTAGAACTTGCTAGGTAGACCAGGCTGGCTTTCAACTTACAGAGCTCCATTTGCCACCGACTCCCTAGTGCTGGTATGATAGGCATGTGCCATCAGTACCCCGTCCAAGCTGGTTTTGAATTCAAGATCATCTTGCCTCAGCCTCCCATAGGCCAAGCATACAGTCTGTCAACTGAACTACCCTTTCAGACCAGAAACTAATTTTTTATTGGAAATTTGTTATTTTGTGTGTATGGATGTTTTACCTGCATGTAGGTCTGTGGCCATGTGCAGGCAGTGGCCCTGGAGACCAGAAGAAGGCATCTGATCCCTAGGGACTGGAGTTACAGATGGTTGTGAGTGGCCATGCAGGTGCTGGGGATTGAACCTGGGTCCTCTGGAAGAACAGGCATTGCTCTTAACCACTAAACTATTATTGTTCCAGTCCCAGAAGCCAAATTTTTTAAGGCAGTCATTAGGACTGAACTAAGCAGAGATGTCATGACCTTTCCTTTGTTGTGAGGGCCAGCTCAAGTCTCATGGGGATACCATGGTATGAGGGGCTCTTTGTCCCTACAGAGTGGCCCCATGTTGCTGGGCATTTGCATTCCTTGCAGCCTAGTTTAATGGCACACCTCTCTGGACCAGAATCAGACAGACTTGGGTTCTGGTTCTGTGCTGTAGGAGCCTGAGCTAGGACTCTACTGCCCTGGCTCCTTGCCTGTATGTAGCATGGCTGCTTCAGATTTCTGAGACTTAGACTGACTTGGAAGCTCTTGATTGGCACACTATTGATATGTGTACGATTTGTAGGTAATTCTAACATTCCAAATTCCTTCGTTCTTTTGAGGAACCTGGAGCCCAGACAGGCGCAGTGACCTGCTCATGGAAACACAGGAAGTCAGCGGTGACCCTATCATCCCAGCACTCTTCATCTGTTCCCTTCGGTCTAAGTGAGTCAGTGAGGAAGGCCTCATCCCTGGGGAGACAGAGCCCTGAGGTGGCTGGCAGTAGGCCATTACGGCCCAAGGCCAAGGGGGAGCCATCATTTGGTGTTCTATTTATTGACTCTTTAAATTTCATCATCTGAGGAGAGTTAATACATGGCTGTTTGGTAGCAAGAGAAATATAATCTAAGACCGCAATGACCCACCCACCCCAAAGAAAAACAAAATCAAACGGAACAAACAAACCCTATCTGAAACCAGACCTTTGGAGTTGTAGCTGAAGCGAGGGGCTGAGGGTCACGGCGGCTCCCTGCAGCCTGGAGGTGAGGGAGAGACTGCCCCAAGCAGAAGCTTTCCCAGTTAAAAAGGCTATGTCTAGTCCCTCAACTTTGTGGGGGTGGTTCTTCCTAAAAGGACTGCCCCTGGCAAGATGGGGTGTTTAGAGAGGGATTAGATTCAGTGGCCGGAGAAAGGGGACATAGGTCCACCCCAAGGTGACCATCGTGCCAGTGCCTAAGACATGGGGAGGCAGGAGCTGGGGCCAGGGCCAGCTGTGAGGAGGGAAGGCCCTTTTCTCTTACCTGAGAAAGCCCTGTCCCAGACCCACCAATGTTCCCAAATTAAGGAACCTTAGGCACCACCAACACCTTGGAAATGCTAAAGCTGGGAAGCTGCCCAGTGACAGTCACTGCCCCCTGGTCATCTTGTCTGAATGTCTGAGGGCACATGAGCAAATTCTGCTTCTGGGTGAGGATGGTTGGAGTTTACCTTTAGGGACAGTGTCTTAGTGCCCTGAACATGCAGAGTGAATGTGAGTGTGTGTGTGTGTGTGTGTGTGTGTGTGTGTGTGTGTGTGTGTGTAATGGATGGGCATTGGTCCTTTCAGGAAAGCTTGGCTAGGGTTCCAGGGTGGCCTCTCACACAGGAACAGGCTTTTATCAGCCTATCATTTCCTCACATCATGTCCTGCCCCAGGTCACTGCATAAATAAGTGCTTTGGAAAAGTATTCATCTACAAAGTAACATAAATACTGTACATAGGCAAGGATGCCGTCCCTTAGCTTTTCCGCTGCCCCAGAAATCCCTCCACATATTGCACATGGCCTCCCCAGCCCTGTGGGGTCCAGGCCCAGCTGCGTCTTTGGTAGAAGCTTCAGGGACAGAGGTCCTGGGCAGCCTCCACATCTCCACCCCGGTTCCAAATGGCAGCACCAGGGTGGTCAGCGGGTAGGAGAGGCCTCGGCCTAGCTGGCAGTGTTCTACCAGGAATGCTTCCACAAAGGTGAGACAGAGTCCACACGGTATGGCCCTGCTTGGACACTGCTCACGGTCTGCGTGTGGCCTGGGAAGAGACAGGCAGGCTGAGGGCAGGTGCACAGGTGGGTCCTGGGCCACAGTGGGCAGGCTCACACCCTCCACAGGAGGAGGTGGTTTGTGCTGTCGTCACGGCCCACGGTCTCACTACTGCTACCACCCCCGCTGCTGAGCCGGAAGTCCTCATAGCCATCACCACCACTGATAACCAGCATCTTAGGCCTGGCTGAGGTGGGGCCTCGGTGCCGAGGGGAGTCCCGGTGATCCAGGGATGGCAGCTTCTCAGGGCCTGAGGAACAAGGAGGAGGACCAGTCAACCTGAGGCGACTTGTAGCTTCATGTCCTATCATTGCTTGAACTCCATATCCCAGAAGACAGTGAGGCACGCACTTCCGGTTAACCAAGCATTTCCATATTGGAAGAAAAGTCTACTTTCCTTATCTCCGGTGTGTGTGCACACACGTGTGCGTTTATGCTCTTTCTCTGTGTACGGTGGTGCACATACATATTCATGTGGGTATGTATGCATGCAGTGTACATGCATGTGTGTGGAGGCCAAAGGTGCCTGGCACTCACTCTGTAGACCAGGCTAGCCTAGAGCTTGCAGAGTTCTACCTGCCTCTGCTTCTGAGTGCAGGGACTAAAGTTTTGTGCCACAGCCCTCAGCTTTCTACTCTACCTTGTTCTTTAAAGGAATTTCTTTCTTTCTTTCTTTCTTTCTTTCTTTCTTTCTTTCTTTCTTTCTTTCTTTCCTTCCTTCCTTCCTTCCTTCCTTCCTTCCTTCCTTCCTTCCTTCCTTCCTTCCTTCCTTCCTTCCTTCCTTCCTTCCTTCTTCCAGAGACAGGGTTTCTCTGTCTAACAGCTCTGGCTGTCATAGAACTCACTCTGTAGACCAGGCTGGACTCAAACTCAGAGATCCACCTGTCTCTGCCTCCCAAGTGCTGGAATTAAAGGCATGTGCCATCACCACCCAGCTTAAAGGAATTTCTAAAGGTTTATTTTATTTTTATTTGTGTGTGTGTGTGTGTGTGTGTGTGTGTGTGTGTGTCCCCGTGCACACGCATGCCTGACTAGGCCAGAAGAAGGCACTGGAGTCCCTGGAGCTGGAGTTACAGGTGGCTGTGAACAGCCTGATTTGAGTGCTGAGAACTAAACTTCGGTCCTCATAAGAACAAAAATTGCTCTTAACTGCCGAGTCTTCTCTCTAGGTCCCCTTCTCCTTTTATAGGTCAGGGTCTTTCACTAAACCTGGAGCTCATCCATTAGGCGAGGCTGAGTGGCCAGCAAGCCCCTGGATCCTGCCTCTGCCTCCCCCATACTGGAATTACATACCTGTGCCACTGTACCCGGCTTTTACTTGGGTGCTGGGGATTTGAACTCGAGTTCTCACGCTTGCCACGCAAGCACTTTATGGACGGCATCATGTCTCCAGCCACCCCACCTCCGACCTGTGTTTTCTCTCAGAAATGACATTAATTTCCTAGCCACTTACCATTTTTATTGATTTCTGCACATATAAGGCCCCCTTTATTGTAACTACAGTCACGTGCTGCACAATGAAATTTTGGTCAATGAAACTGAAAATCCTCATCCCCTAGGGAAGTTGTAGCCATCTTATGGGCAACACGTCACACCACTCACATGTCGGGGGAGATGCTGTGGAGCCAGCCAGCCATGTAAAAATGTAGCACGTTCACTCGTGTGCAGAACATGTTAGGAGTGTAGTGCATATGGTACTGATTTGTTTATTTTCTTTCTAGTGTCTCTGTTTTTCTGTTTTTGTTTATGTTTAAGGGATCCCAGAGCCACAGGCATGCAAAGCCTTTTCCTATAACAGGAATATGCTAAGTGTTTTAGCTCTTCCGGAGGACACGACTACTAGTTACCTTAAGGAAGAGTTTACTGTAAACAGCAGGCCAGTGGGCACAGGTGCAGCCCTGTCCACCCGGTGTTTACTGCAGCCCTTGATTTCATCCATCACGGCTCTAGGAGCAGCAGGCTGTACCAGCCATTTACACCGCATCGCGGAGCTGCGTGGGCTTACACTATGTAGGGTTCTGTGAGTGATCTATGGTGTGACACAGCAATGCAATCATCCAAGCACGCAGTGCTCAGAGCATGTGCTGTTGCTATGGGATGCAGAATTGCACCTGATGCTCTTTCCAGTTAACGTGGCTCGTCTTTTCTTATCCACACAGCTCCTGACTCAGCCTCCTGATTCCCTGTCACTTCCTCTTCGGAACGAGTATTCTTGTCCTCCAAAGCGAGACTTTGCTCATCATGACCTCTGTGAAGTACCTCTTTTTCCTGCTGTTTCACTTTCTAATCACACTTCCTGCCCTGTACACCACTCTACAGCCTCTTTTCTGTGCTATTTTTATTTCCTGTTCTGGACATCACTTCCAAGTCATTTATACCTCATTTCCAGCTCTGCTTTACTTCCTGGAATACATATATTTTTTAATTTATTTATTTCTATTTTATGTATATTGGTGTTTTGCCATAGGTACTGGATCCCCTGAAACTGGAGTTACAGACAGGTGTGAGGTGCCATGTGGGTGCTGGGAATTGAACCCAGGTCCTCTAGAAGAACAGTCAGTGCTCTTAACCACTGAGCCATCTCCCCAGCCCCACTTCCTGGTATATTTAAGAAACACATACAACAGTCTATATTTCCCATGAACGTATTTGTCTCCTGTTAGTTTAGAGCTCACTTCTGTCTCCCATGACACTTCCCTGGATACTTCATGCACACGCACACACAGGAACACACACAGAGCTTCATTTGGGGTCTCTGAAGTCTATTTCTTCTAACAGGCTTTACTCCTAGTTTTTCCACCCTCTTAGAGCCTCCCCTGGCAGAGCCCCCGGATGGGAGCGGAACGTGCAGACCCACCTGTATCTGGGGGAGGTGGCGGGGTTGGACAGAGAAGGTTGAAGCCATCAGGCAGCTGGACTGCCGCCAAGAAGCGGACATGGCCGGTGTGCCCCTGGCCTAGGCCAGCGGGGCTGAGAGGCGCTCGTGGGCAGCTGACGGTACTCGGGGAGGTGGGCATAGTCAGCACAACCCCAGCACTGGTGCCCACCCACAGCAGCTCCTCACACACCAACAGTGCCGTGATCCTCAGGCAGGCTGCCTTGTGCTGTCGGATGATGGCGTCAGAGCCTGGGGGGAGAGGAACAGCATCATTGGGCCTGGAGGCTGACCCTTTCTTGGCCTCCCCCAGGACGGGAACGGGAGGTCGGTACCTGCCAGCATCCTGTGCACAGGAGGGGTGACATCTACCTCCGCCAGCTGCTCAAAGGTGTCTGGGTGGTAGAGACAAACGTGGGCACTACCTTTCAAGGTCACCCACACACCCAGGCTGGAATCGACCATGCAAGCCACGCTTCGGCTGGAATCCTGCCCCACGTAGAATGTGTGCTACAGGGGAGGAGGGCAGACCTCAGGCAGTAGTTGGCACAGCTGCCCCAGGCTCTTCTGCCTGAACCCCACCATTGCCCATCCCACACACAGCTCCCCACAAACCTCTCTAGGTACCTGCCCGGATTGACAGCCGAGGCAGTCTTGGTCCTGGATCTGGATGATCAATTTCAAAGCTTGCCCACTTAATCCTCCAGAAGTAAAAAGGGGTGCCCTTTCCCTATGAAACTTGAGTGACTAAAGCTTGTGTGGGTTTAAGACCAGGCATTGGTCCCTCCCTGGACAGATGGGGAAGTGTCAGCCTAGGAGGAAAAAGTCACACCCTAAGAAGGCCCACGGTCACATACTAGTCAGAGCCAGGGCCTGGCCCCACGCCTTAACCTTCAACTCAGTCCGTGAAACCCAAGGAAATCTGTGGCCCCTAGGTACTGCCTAGGCTGGAAACCTATGGTTCGTATGTAAATAAAACAGGAGTGAAGGCCAAACGTTTATATTAAGGGATGGTGACATCAGGAAGGACCCTGCTGTCCCCCAAGGATCCCAGTATTGCACTTACAGGATCCAACAGGAGCATGAATGAGGGGTGTAAATGGGCATTTGCTGTCTTCCTCATTAGCTAGAGTGGAGATGAGGACCAGAGAAGGGTAGAGATTGGCTGGGCAAGGGAGAGGGTCCAGGGAAAGGTCCGAACCCCTCAGCTGGATGCTTCTGTTCCTCTGGTCTTATCTCCCTCTCCTGGACCCTAGCTCATCCCAAATCACCAGTTCTGTTCCCGACCCCTGCTACCTCCAGCTGCAGTGTGTCAGGGCTCAGGACAAGAACCCGGTTCTGGCAGCCACACCATAGCCGTCCACCCACAGACACCATCTTGGTGATGGGGCTCCCTGGAGCACCCAGAGTCATCGATTTGAAGTTCTGGGGGTCCCAGAAACGCCCTAGAGAAGGAATAGGTTAAAGAAAACATAAAATTCAGTGCAGTCCCAAATTTGTCCCAGCCTTCCCTGAAAAGAAACCTGAATGCTCCCATTTATTTTATTTTTTGGCTTTAGAGACAGAGTTTCTCTGTATAGCCCTGGCTATCTTAGAACTCACTATGTAGACCAGGCTGGCCTCGAACTCAGAGATCCACCTGCCTCTGCCTCTCAAGTGCTGGGATTAAAGGTGTGAGCCACCACCGTCTGGCAAATGCTCTCATTTATAAGAGAAGATATGGGGACCCTGGGAGTTGCCCAAAGCCTCATAGATGTCTGGGCCTGTGGACCAGAAGTTCCCATTTGTCCAGAAGAGAGCTCAGTTACTACCAAAGGGATAAGGGGGGGGAGGGTGTGTGGGGCACATACCTGCTTCCCTTTGGTAGACTACAAGTTCTCCATTGGCCAAGGACACAAACACCTGGTTATTCAGGTACCTGAGGAAAAGGAAATAAGGATGCACTCCCAGAGGCGGCTGAAGTGGGCGTCCCGGGGCCAAGGGACTCACAGGTACTATGGCTCTGGTCTCAAGGGTTCACCTCATTTGATCCTTTACTCTCAAAGTGTGTGTGTGAGGGGGAGGGGCCCTGAGGCTGAGAAGCGGCAGTGACATACCCATGTTAACAGTGTGGAAGATGCACAGCTGGCCTTGGTCCAGGCCTCTGTTCTGCATCTTCCCCAGAAAAGAGGGGCCAGCAGAGCAGGGGCAGATGAACAGAGGTGGCCTATATGCTGGCCAGGAAGCCCCTGGGTGGGAAGGGTAACCCGGAGCCTTACAGGATGCAGGTCACGGAGGCTGCGTGCTGGAGCTTCATGCTGTTCCTGCGATCGCGGATGCTGTCAGAGGACTGGTAGACGTGGACACTGTGGATTAGGGGGAGCATCTGTGACCAGTGGTCGAATCTACCAGCCCCAAGAGTCAGCCCTTCACTTCTCCGCCGCCTCCCCACCTCCTCTACCCCAGCTACTGACAACGGACCAGCTTCTCATGAGTCTCAGGCCCTCTGGTATGCCCAGCTGGTAGGGACTCCCAAGACTAGCTCCGACCCCCCCACCCTCACTTCTGCTTCAGGCCACCACATGATTTCCCAGACCTTGCCCTGCCCTTACCAGCCATCCTCGGTGCCCAGCCACACGGAACTCTGGTAGGCTTCAGGGTCCACACTCAACAGGTCCTCAAGGCTGCCCCTTGTGAAGGAACCACGGCTTGAGCGGCGAAGGGCTCGTCCATCCATTGGGCTGGTGCCGCAGGGACCGCCTGGTCCAAAGGAGCCAGAGAGTGACAGGAAGCCAGGCTCCTGCTCTTCCTCGGAGCTGGTTGTCTCTGCAGTGGCCTCCTTGGAGCTTGGGGTCTCCTCATCTGAAGAGACAAAGATCTCCATCTCTGTTCTCCTCCACCAGGCAGAAATCTAACATCTCCCTAGGCCTCACCGTGTCCCCCCGGCCACATCCTTCCTGCCCCTGGTCCCTGTATGTGCTAAGGCCTGCTCACTCTCAGCACATACGACAGGTTTCCTAGTCCTCATCTGGCCATTTCAAGTCCAGCCACACCTGTACGGAGGGACTAGCCATCCTACCCAATGCCCATCTCCCTGAGCAGCGTACTCCAAGGTCTCCAGGACCCCACCTGTCTGACTCATTGACTTCTGAGTCCTCACTATTACAGCCCCCCTAGCGAGCTGACTCCAGCCCTTGCCTCCATTGGTGCCCCCTCAATTCCCACCCGCACTCACTGCCAAAGCTGGAGGAAATGGTAGACTGGCTGGCTTGGCTCTGCAGTGTCCCGGAGGGGCTGGGTGAAGATTCGTCATCGGAGTCACTGTCAAAGGGCACCAATTCGGCTTGGGGGTCACCCTTGGCAGGGCCTGGATCCATCTCCAGACCAGATCCTGAGATGGAAATGTGCAGGCAAGGCTGAGGCCCTGGCTCGGCCAGTGTTGCTGCTTCCTCGTCAGCTGTGGCCTCGACATCTAGTTCGGGCCCAGCGGGCTCCAGGGTGGTCTCCGGGGGACTCCTCAAGGGCTCTGGCTGCTCTCTAGAGACAAAGGGGAAAGGAACAAGAGCTGCCGCTAAGAGGCGCCCGAGATAGCATCCTAACCCGACCCCGCCCACGGACAACCCCGCCCACCCAGGCCCCGCCCATCAGGTCAACCTCAGCGTGTACTGGGACAGAGGCCGGTGTCCTAGGCTCACCAGGGCCTTACCGCGGGCGACGCTGCAGACCTGGCACCGCTCCGATACAGAGAATGCGGGCAGAGCAAACGGCAATGCAGGCCTCCACGTCTGGTTCCGCTCTCAAGCTCAGCAGGCACACCTGACCCACGTAGCCATCACTGTTGCACACCCACACCTCTGGTGCTGGCTCTGGGCAGCTGCTGAGGGTGGGGGCAGCACAGGAAAACTGTGGGAAACCCCAATGGACGGGGAGAGGGGAATGTTAGAATTGTGCCAGTATCTGGCTCTACCACAGACCCCAGCAGAACAGAGGGGTGGCGGGCTTGCATACATCTCTCTACACCAAATGCACTATGTTTGTGATACAAACAGCACCCAAACCTGTATGTACACGTACATGCACCCTGAATAGGACCATGGATGTATGCACCTATTAATATGTGACGCTGGTACTATTGGTTAGGTATGAAAACTCATACAAGTACATGAGGTAGATCTCAAATCTACAGTGTGTGTTCAAAATGCACACGCCCATACACAAATGATACACACACAATGTGCAAATGCACATACTCAGTCACAGGGGGCAATCACCATGTTTCAAACACATATGAGATGTGGTACACAAAGCAAAAATTCATACACACATAGCTTTGAATAGACCGAATGACTCACATGCACATGTGCATGTGTGTACACACACACACACACACACACACACACACACACACACACACACACACACACACACACACACACCTGCATGCCACTGCGAGTTTTCATGATGGGGATGGCCTTCAGGAACTCAGGGTCTAGACAGCTTTTACTGGATGCTGTAGTAGAAGAGACAGGGCAGAGGGAGACACACCCTACTCAGCACCCACCTTACCCTGCCTCGCTCCCACCCCATTGCATTTCCTGCTGTCTGTGAGTCTCCCTAGGGAGGGCCTGCTACAATGAGAGGTTATGGGTTACACCCCGTTTGCTCTTGGCCCCAGTTTCCCCTTCTGTACAATGAGGGAATAGCTCTGGGTCTCTAAGCTATAAAACTAATCAATAACTCTCCAGGACTCAACCACACTGAGGAAGAGGAAGGTCTTGGCTGTTCAGGCCTATGCTGGGGTTCCTGTCCTAAAACGACTCTGTCTGGGAGCCCCTTCCCAGCCAGGGAGGAGCTGGGAGCCAGAGCTAACGCCCAGCCCGCTGTTTCACGGCAGAGGTCTCAGTCCACCTGTCCTAATCAGCTGCCGGAAGACGGGAGACTGTAGTTCAGGGAGTTCTCGCTTCTAAAGTCAGGACTGCCCAGAGGCTCTGAGGAGAGACACCAGCATACACCCTGGCTCACCCAGCTTCCTCTTGGCCTCATCGAAGGCCTGCTCAAAGCCCAGGCGGGCATCGGGGTGGGGGAACTCAAAGATGAAGGAGTCGGTGCCCTCAGGCCGGGTGGCACACAGCTCCAACTTGGTGGGTGGGAAAGAAAGTGAGTAGCACAGTGCCTGCTTTTCCGACAGGTCCCGGTGCATGGCGGCAGAGAGGTCCCTCAGCGCATCGTCCAGACTCTGTGGGAAAAGAGCCCAGGCCTCAGGCCAAGGTCTCACCACATGAGAACCTGCGTTTGGGAACAGGAGGACCTGCCTCTCCCCTCAGACAGAGGAAGGCTGCTTCCGCCCACCACAGACAGGGCTGGCCTTTCTCCCGGTTAGATGTCTCCTCCCTCAGACCTGGGACCTGTCACTTCCCTTAAGTAGAAGCAAGTCTATAATTTTCCCCTTCAGATAAGTGACAGGACCAACTGCTCTCTCAGGCAAATGCCGAGACTGTCTCTCCCCCAGACAAGGTCAGGGGAAGTCCCCGCCCAAGCCTGCCTTAGCTCGGGCACAGACCTGATGGGGGAAGCCAAGGTTCTCGGAGAGCTTGCTCATTTGGCTCAGGGTGGCCAGGTCCTCATCCAGGCGGCTGATGGCCTTCTGGATATTTTCCCGGTTGGTGGCTTGAGACGCCCCTGGCAGGGACAGAGGAAAGCCGTGGACATGTAAGACAAGGTCAGACTTTGACAGACACACGTACGTCCCTCACTGCACAGCCTGCAGCTGGACGTGAGGTGGATGGGTCCAGCAAATGGAGAGTTTCCAGACCCAAGCTCTCAGAAACAAGGTTAGCAGGCAGCTTCCAGAAAAGTCCCAGGCCTGGGCGGAGGGGACTGGGCTTGGTTTAGGAGCACATGCACAGGATGCCCGACTCTTGGAGAACTTGCTAGGAGAGTGTAGCTGCCTCAGCAGGTTATGCGAGCGCCAGGAGCCTCTGGATGCAGCAATGGTGCGGCCTCATGGGGGACTGGCCAATCAGACAGAGCCCTGGCAGTCCAATCGCCCACGGAGAAACTTGCCTCCCGGGAAAGGAGGTCAGAAGGAGCTGGTGTCCTGATTTCCCGGTCTTCTCCCACAGCTGACCACAGGCCAGCTCAGAATGTCCACCTCAGTGCCTGGGTGTATGTACCCTAGAGACCAGCAGATCATAACGGGCTGTGTCTTCACTGCCAGGCTGGGCAGGTCGGTCTTGAAATCAAGGACAGGAAGTTATTCTCTTTGCTCTCTCCCTAAATGACAGCTCTTGCTATCCTCTCTGCTCCTGTTTACAGTACACATGAGCAGCTGTCACAAGTCACAGAATGCTAAGATGACCATGGGGTCACGAAGCACTCCAGGAGGTTCTGAGACCGGCAAGTGATGTCTGGAAGGGTCATGTGGCCAGGGACCCTACAGAGACACGTCCATGGAGCTGGCAGGAAGGTGTCCCCACTGTGGACACAGAGTCTCTGATACTGCTACAGAGTATATGCAGAGCAGGGCTGTGGACCCAACAAGCCAAGCCTTGGGATACCTGGCCATAGTTGAATGCTTGTGTCTCCTTGGAGTTTATATGTTGAAATACTCCCCCAGTATTGGTGTTGGGGGTGACAAGGTCATATGGGTGGTGTCCTCATGAGTGGGATTCATGATTTTAATCTCAGCACTCAGAAGGCAGAGGCAGGCGGATTTCTGTGAGGTCAAGGCCAGCCTGGTCTACACAGTGAGTCAGGGCTATGCTGCCTGAACGAAACAAAACCTGGGACAGCTAGTCTAACCCTTTCACCTAGTGAGGACACACAGCAGGAACAGGCCCCTCAGCAGACACCAGACAGGCTGTGTCTCATACTGGAATGTTCCAGAACCAGGAGCAATAAATTCCTACTTACGCACTACCTGGTCTTCTACCAGACTAAAACAGTCTCCCATTGCTTCTAAAAATCACTCTCCTGCTCCAAAGCCAGGCTTTCTTCCTTTTCTACCCTGCTTTACTCCTGGCCACACAGCTGAATGGCCACACAGGAGTGGGTCATTCTGTCAACTGCTCTTGTTTCCTAGTGAGAAGAGATGAGGTGGACTCAGTCCTCACCCGGGGCCCCGTGGGACAACCTGGTTCATCTGAGGCCACCTCTCAGGCAGGCTCAGAGTCAGTTCTGAAGTGACACACGGGTGCTGAGACTGAGGTCACCACACAGCAAGAGGGGATGAGAGATGGCAGCAGAGGTCCTCGGGGTGTCCAGCTCCAGGCAGGTTCAGCCCCAAGTCACCAGAACTCCTTAACCAATCCTTCACTGGGGCTCTGCTCCTGGTGTTAGGTGGGAATGGTACCACACCAGCTAACAGCAGGTCTTCAAATGAACGCTAACTCAATGGCCGACGACAGTTATGGTGACTGCTTTGCAGCCCCACCTGGGTCTTGCCGGGGCACCAAGAGGATGGTTTGCATGGATACCTGCATCTGGCTGCATGAACGCTAACCCGGTCCTTCAAAACCAGCCCCTCATATGGGATGGAAAGTGAGACACAAAAGCAGGAAAACTGATGGACAGGCAGCCAGACAGGCCAGAGCTCAAACACACCTAGACACTTCTCAGAGGAAGAACCCAACACTGGCATCTCTTTCTGACAGACTCAAGTCAGCCCTACCTTTGATGATGTCTGTGTCTTCCAGCGGCAGCTTCCACAGCATCTTGTACTTGCTGGCCGTATCAATGACGCTGGCTGCCGTGTACCTGTGGGTAGCCAATGGGGTGCTCTGGCTGGGGCAGGGAGTAGAGCCCACCATAGATCAATGGCTCTCCTGCCTGCACCACCCAGCCCCACCCTGGCCACTCACAGGCTCATGGAGCTGCGGCGTAGGGAACCTGACTTCCGTTTCAGGGTGGTGCAGACAATGAGGTCGGTGAACAGGAAGAGGGATCGGTCCTTCTTGCCTCCAATTGCCTTCTGTAGGGTTCCAAGTGGGATTCAGGCTGAGTGTGCATATAGTCTAGAGGCCGACCCACATGCCCCTAGTGCTCATGGGGGACAGCTCTCCCCGACTCATGCAGGGCTCCTGCTGTGGTTGGGTGAGAGCCGGGACCTGAGGGCAGCAGGCACTGGAAGAGTGAACTTAGGTGGGTGGGGGTACACGGGGAAGCAGCCAATGGGATACTTCTTACCACTTCAATAACCATCTCCTGCCTCAGGAACCGCCGCAGGGGGGCCTGGAGCTGTTGGGCGGGAGACACGAGGGGTCTTAAAAACTAATTATGAATCCACTAACCCTGCAGCGATCTGGTTGGCCCACTCTATAAACCAGGTCAGTCAGAGCAATGTTCTATCCTCTCTCACATGGCTGTGCTTGCGCCAGGCCAAGGGTACAAGGTCAGACAGATGAGGAGGAGGACACAGAAGGGTGGGGCATTGTGGTCACAGAATCAAGCACACCACAGACCCTGGTCTGGATGTGGATGGCCGCAGTCTCAGGGACAGACGCAGACACAGACAGGGACAGACGCAGACACAGACAGGAGTGGGGTGGAGCATGGCAGGGTGGGGCACATACGTCCTCCATGCCCTCGATGTGGGCTTCGATCTCCTGCAGCACACGGGCATGCCGCTCCGCCTCCTCGGCACTCCTCACTCCCTTGTTGATGCGTTCAGCCACCTGTTTGATGTTCCGCTGAGCATCCAGCAGGAGTGGGTGGTCTGGATGGTCTTCGGGTGTGTGCTTCAGAAGGTCCTGGGGTGGGAACGGGAACCTGCTTAGCTACCTTCCACACTGACTGCCGGAGTCGGGGAGACTACTGGGTAGGCACCAGGGAGGACTTTCTTTCCTGTCTGGAGTCTGAGAATAGACATGCACCCCTCACCCCCGTGCCTCCCTGCCCCACCGGCCCCAGGCTTACCTTCACCAGCAGCTCATATCGTGGGATCCTCTGCACGGGTTTGATCATGAGGTCAGACAGTGCCTGCTTTTCCTTGTTCTCACGCATGCTTTGCTGAAAGCCACGGCAGAGTGGAGGGAGTCCCCATGTGAGGAATGATGTTAGGAAGAGACGGTTCCTAGCAAGTCCCCCCAGCGGAGCTCAGGGGCAGAGGCTGACCACACTCCCTAGCATCACAGCATCCTGGCAAGAGCCCCAGGGATGTCCCAGAGCCAGCCTGAGGTGAGCGTATCTCCATCCCTACCCCAGTCCACATACCTCCAAGAACTTGAGAAAGGCCGGCCTCGCCTCCTTAGCTATGCGTACAGCATCCTTTGCATTGAGGAAGTTATCAATATAGGCGGAATAAATGTTCACTAAGACGTCTTTGGAGAACTGTGGGTAAGGAGGCAGGTTAGGCAGGCTCAGGTGTCCCTCACTCACTGCACCCTGTCCTAGCTTCCATCCATTCAACTTCTCTGTCTTTGTCTGAATGTGTACGTGTTGCATGTATGACACATGATTGAATGAGCAGACGTGTGTGCACATATATATATATACATGGTACATCTCTTCTGTGTTTGTGTATAAGCACATGGACATGGGCCTGGGTGTGTGCTGAACCCAGACCTGGCTTGTTCACTTCTGGACAGTCTACCACCAGGTCTCCAGGCCCATCAAATCAGCCAGGCAGGCCTCAGACGCTTCTTGTGATGGAAATGAACAGACCCACTCTAGCCGCTGGAACTCTGCCTGTGGAGTTCCTCCACCAGGAACACCCTTCCCAGCCCAGTCAACCCGCTCTGGGCACTGGGCTGCAGCCTGCTCTTACGGGATGTAAATGCTGCCTGACTTAGGGGCTCTCTCCTGGCACAGTAAAGCCTGGCTCTGGGCAGGGTACGTGCTGGTGGCTAATCCTGCTGGTTGGCTGATGGTAGGTCAGGGGACTTGCCTGCAGGTGAGGACACCTGAGTTCCTGTCTCAACTGCACCAAGGACACGTTAAGATACAGATCTTAGAGTCCCTGTCTCTAGACAGGACAGGGCTGAGCCTGAGTGGATGAGGGAGAGCCTGTCCTGGGCTGAGCCTCCCGTCAGCCCACAGTCAGCATCCAGGTCCAGCAGAGGTTGAGATTAATGACACTGAGAGTGGAGACAACAGCACTTAATCCCACCTGGTGGCATTAGTTTCCAAGCAGCAAGGACAAACTAAGACCTGTTTAGGTTGAAGGCTACACTCTACCTCATAATGAGCACATTTAAACATGCTCACATCCCAAAGTAGACAGGATTTTTTTTTTTTAAGATTATGTATATAGTATTCTGCCTGCAGGCCAGAAGAGGGCACCAGATCTCATTATGGATGGTTGTAAGCCACAATGTGGTTACTGAGAATTGAACTCAGAACCTCTAGAAGAGTAGTCAGTGCTCCTAACCTCTGAGCCATCTCTCCAGCTCTGGATTATTTGTTTATTTATTTTTTAAAGACAGGGTCCCACAATGTAGCCCTGATTGGCTTTCAACTCGCTAGGTAGACCATTTTTTGGCTTGGCTTATAGAGCTTTCTGGAAGGATTCTCTACAGTTTTGCTTTTACAATTATGTGGCTCTAAGTAACCACTTATTTGAATTTGGTTATATCAGTCATCATCAAGAATTCTTGCGGTGGTGGCGGCTCACGCCTTTAATTCCAGCACTCGGGAGGCAGAGGCAGATGGATCTCTGTGAGTTCAAGGCCAGCCTGGTCTACAGAGCAAGATCCAGGACAGCCAGGACTACACAGAGAAACCCTGTCTCCAAAAACAAAAACAAAAAAAAAGTACCTTAAAAGTTTTTCAAATATAATTAAAGTTACATAAACAAGTGCCAATTTTAAGAAGAAACATGGCGTTACATTCACAGGAGTTTAATGAATTTTTTTTTTAACTTTGCTTTTGTGGTTCTTTTGAAATTCTGAGCCACCACTGAAGGACCTTGAAGAGCTCATGGATGTCCGGGCTCCTGGGGCAAGGATATGTGGCAAGCGCCAGGGCCTCTGGTGCATATACTGTGTAGGATAATGCCCAGAGGTAAAAGGTGCCAGCGGGTACAAACGAGATCATTAAACAGCCAGCCAGAATAAGGTGAGCATCCATGTCAAGCATATGAACATAAGGTCTGGGTCAGCAGCAACGCCAGCTACTGACTGGGTAGTCCACGCAGCAAGGACACTCACCGACTGGACGAGCAGGGCTCCCACCTTCTGCTGGGCATGCCACGTCTGCACGCAGTGCCGGACCTGCTCCAGGAACTGTTCGTGGTGTTCCAGAAGTTCAGGGATCTGGTCGAAGATCTCATCCACCAGCGACGGGTCACACAGCAAGGAGTTCTCTGGCTGCTTCAGTGGTTGCATGTAGCCCTGGAGGACCCACGGGGTCAGTGCATCTTCCCACAGAGGTGGTACCCCACCTCACCTGTACAGTCTGTCCCCCCAACTGGTGCTCCTGTCTAGCTCAGGGCTTAGTTGGAGGAGAGGGAGGCGCAGGGAAAGAATGCTGGATGCATGAAAAGAGCTTGGAGGGAAAAAGTAAGAAGACTGGGTTGGGTGGGACGCTTTCCAGGACACCCCCCACCCAGTAACTCAATAAATATTTTACTGAGTCATTACCACATGCCAGGCACTGTTTTAAGATCTAAAAGACAGCAGTGAACAAGAGAGACCCAAAAGATAAGTATGGTGGAGACTGAGACAGGAGGATCGCCATAAGTTTAAGGCCAGCCTGGACTACATGGTGAGACCTTATTCCAAAAAATAGCCAATAGCCGGGAGGTGGTGGTGCACACTTTTAATCCCATCACTCAGGAGGCAGAGGCAGGGGGATCTCTGTGAGTTCAAGGCCAGTCTGATCTATACAGAGTGAGTTCCAGGACAGCCAGAGATACACAGAGAAACCCTGTCTCAAAAAAAAAAAAAAAGAGCCAATGAAAAGACCTGACAAATGACAAAACTTACATCTAACCAGAAGAAACACACAAATGAAAGGAATGTGGAAAATAAAACCACATTTCACCAAACCTAAGATACGCTGTGGTAATAAACACACACACACACACACACACACACACACACACACACACACACACACAAAGGTTTTCCAAGACAGGGTTTCTCTGTGTAGTTCTGGCTGTCCTGGAACTCACTCTGTAGATCAAGCTGGCCTCAAACTCACAGAGATACGATTGCCTCTGCCTCCTGAATTCCGGGACCAAAGGTGTGTGCCACCACTGTCCGGTTGCTGTATATTTTTTAGTTACCTTTAAGAGAAAAAAAAAAACCCTGATGACAATTAAATTATTATATGCTACGAATTATACGAGGAACTCTGGATTCACTGAAATGTGAAGGCCTTCCCTCTCAGGATCAATTCCATGTTGGAACTCGGGTGATGACAGGCAGTGCACTGGAGTCAACTCTGGAGTTACTGGAGGCCTGTACAGAATACTAGTTTAAAAGTTTTTGAACCTCCGGGGCAGTCTTGACTAAAATTCCTGTTTTTCACCACCAATCTGCGTTCAGCGTGTTTCCTAAGCATGAACAGCCTGCCTCTCTGCGGGCACGCTCATGGAGAGATCGCCCTCTACTGGCCCATGCTGCAACTGCAATTCAAAGAAGATGGGGGCGGTTCTTGAAAAGGCGTATGTGATGCTACATTTATAAAATAACATTTATACTAAACATTTAAAAAATCTGGCTTGTTTTGTAAAACAAACCTGAAAAAGTCAAGCTGAACAGAACTGGCTGTTCAATCTTGGCTGGTTGAAGATTCTGAAAAGGCTCAGGGTGACTGAGTAGCTAGCAACTGATCTCCCCATCAGGGCTCTCTGGCCAGTGCCAGCCAGCACCTTGACTGGTTATGGAGCAGAGTGACACCATTCACCTCTGGGTCACCCTGCAAAGGAGCAGGCACACGGTGGGAGCAAGGAATAGCAGGTGAAAGCCTGAAAATCGATACAACCCCAGCTAACACCCACTTTCCCTCAAGGTGTATCAGCCCAAAGCCTGGGAGCCACGAAGCCCCACCCCTGAGCTGGAAGCTGAGCAGAGGGCAGCCACCCAGTGTACGAAATAAATGAGCTATTATACAGTATGCCAGGAGGGAGTAAGGACTCTGGAGACAGGAGAGCAGGGAGAGCTGGGGGCCCCGGGGGGGGGGGATTGTTCAGGAACAGGCTGCTTCTTAGCTGAAAATATTGGGGCCCAAGACAGGACTCAAGGATGGGGTGACACCAGGAAAGGATATAGACTTAGGGCCGGGGTTCAAACCCCACCTCTCGGCTGCTGGCCTTGGTATGTGATTCCTTTCTGTTATTTTGTTTTTAATCTGAACTGACAAGTAGTCAAGCCTGGTCCTGAACACCCGATCCTCTCTCTCCCACTCAAGTGCTGAGGTCACGGGCACACACCACCACACCTGGCTCGTTTAGCACTGTTTTCTGTTTTTGGAGCCAGGGTCTTGCTTTGCAGCCAGCCTAGTCCCAAACTCCCCACTCTGCCTCTACCTCCAAAATACTAAGATGACAGGCAGGTGCCACCACATGCGGCCGGCCTTACCACTGTTACTTAAATCCTGCTCTTGCAGGAATCCTACCAACCCACTTTGCGTGGCAGTGGTCACGGAGCTAGTGCCCGTCTCGGCGTCAGCGTCCGTTTCTGAACTTCTGCGTCTTTGGTCCCTCATTCAGAGCAGCTCATAATTTCTCCCTCACAAGGCTTACAAAGGTTGAGGCAACTGCACACACACACACACACACACACACACACACACACACACACACGCCAACACACGTGCAGGCAACATGTGAGATGCTGCGTGCATCTGAGATATGCATTTGGGACAAGGGCTACTGTGATCTCCACTCTACAGCCAGGGCAGGTGAGGCACAAGTGCACCCACGATCTGTTCCAGCTTACACAGCTGACCAAGAAGTGTAGCCATGTGTGAGCAGCGGAGTCACGCTCCAGAGCCCTGGAGGGACCCATCTTCCATTCACGCACCCAGGCTACGGCACCCCCATGCCTTGGGTTCAAGTGATAATCTCCTGTTCGCCTCTTCCTCTCCCCTCCCACCCAGGAACCTCAGTTTGGTGTCTTCACCTCCAGCCCTGCTCGCCTCACAGGGCCCAGCAGACTCAGACGCCAGGCCCGCCTGCTTTGTGTTCCTCCGCTCTCCTCTCTGCCCACAGGCCCGAGAAGAGACACCATCTTTCTCTTCACTCCGAGAGGACACATGAACAACTTCATTTTACAGGTGAAACTAAGGACTAGAGAAGTGATCCAACTCCTGTCGCCCCGAAGGAGACAAGTGACTCAAAGCCAGGGCTGTCTGTCCACACAGCCACTTAACGAGGGGATGGCCCTGGGCCCTTGCCGTGGCTTCTCTTCCTGTCTGACATCTTGGGAATCCCTCCTCAGGTTTTCTTGCGCCCACAGGAGACCCCAGCCCTTGCCTGGCCTCCTGCCCTTCTCCTCGGCAGCCACACCGGGCACTTCCGGTCTCCTCCTCTCTGCTCCAGGTTCCTCCACTGTCCTGGTCTTTGCTTGTGTCGTGTGCTCAGCCTGTTCCCCTCAATGAGCTCTCTGTTGAAATCCTACCCACCCTTTCAGGTCTCTGCTGGACACTCCAAACCCAGAGTCACCTTCCCCGAGCCCACACAGGCAAGTATTCATCCTATGCTCTTATATCTACGGACATTTTTACAAAAACAGAGGCAATGTATTTTTTTTGTGGTGAAACAGACAAAAGATAAAATTGGTCACTTTAACCAGTTCCTTTCATTCGTTTTTAAAAACAGTTTCTCATGAATTCTAGGTTACCCTTGAACTATCTATTAGTCAAAGATGACCTTGTAGTTTTGATTTTTCTTGCCTCTGCCTCCTGAGTGCTGGGACCACAGGGGTGAGCCGCCACACCTGGTTTATGCAATGCTGGGGATCAAACCCAGGGCTTCTTGCATGCTAGATACGCACTCTTTTGAGCTGGCCCCACTTTAATCTGTTTTAAATACACAGATTAGTGTGCATACATTCACACTGTTGTGCAAACACCAACTTCCTCTCCCAGCTGGAAGCTCTGGACCACTGGACACTAACACCCCATAGCCCGCTCCCCAGCCCCAGCCTCCCTGGGACACTGCTACCACCCACCATCCCACTTTCGGTCCCTGAAAGCCTGCCGACTCCTAGCGCCTTGGGATGCATACCACCCAGCCCCGGTTGTTAGCTGAGTGGCTTGTTTCGAGGACCACCAGGGTTGCAGTGTGGGTTGAAATCACCCTCCCTTTCAAGTGGAGGACTACCCACATATGTACACACACCCTTGAATTCTGTATCACCATCTCTGGCTGGTGACTGCTACTCTCCTGAACAGCCCATGAGCTCCAGGGAACAGATTCCTGTCCCTCGGGCTCACTGCCGAATGGCGGCCCCTGCCCTGCCCTGCCCAGTCTACAGAAGGGCTCTGTACAGATCTGTGGAAGCGGGAGAGGGAGGGAAAAAGGAAGGCTGATTGTTTCTAGATATTTCCTGGGTTCTACTTCACCCTGAGCTGTGGTGGCTTGAATAAGTTCATCTTTAATTGTGCTTGTGAGCTCCATTTCAGCACACATACCCAGGTTCTGGGCCTCTGCAGTACACACAGAGCTGAGTCTCAGTTTACCATCCTGCCATAGATACACCTATCCCTCCTCTGTTCTCCACCTCTCCCAAGCCGGGCAGGGGCCCAGGCATAGACCTGACTTCCCACCTCATGCCCACCCTGCAATCCCTGGAACCCACCCGACCTGAGCAGCTCACCTCCTAAGTGTCTGCCCCCCTCTGTCCCTCCTACAGTTGGTGCCCTTCCTGAAACTCTGTGGCCCTGGCTTGGTCTCCTGCCACTCATCTTTCCATCAGTCACACAGACTTCTCAAAGCACACACCTGGCTCAAAACCCTCTGATGAATCTCCAGGAACCCCACTGTGATCCAAATCCTTCTCCTGGAGTTCAAGGACCCCATGGCATGACCCCTGCTGGCTCCTGCAACATCACCCAAGACCTAGGGAGCCTTCCCTGATGGCATACTGGTCCAGCATCTTCCATGCCTCTAGAGCAGTGGTTCTCAACCTTCCTAATGCTGCGACTCTTTAATTCATGCTCTGGTGACCCCCCAATCATAAAATTATTTTCATTGTTATTTCATAACTGTAATTTTGCTGCTGTTATGAATCTTAATGCAAATACCTGATATGCAGGATATCAGATATGCGACCCCAAGGGGGTCGAGACCCACAGGTTGAGAACTACTGGTCTAGTGTCCCATATACTCAGCAGGGTTCTTCCTTCCCTCATCCTTGGGCTTCGTGTACCTGGACCATGGCGTGCCCACAGTAGATATTCAGTATTTAATTCTGGTCACAGAAAAGGCACCATCAAGGGTCAAAACTGGGGTCCAGGGCTGCTGAGGGAACATGGAAACAATGGGATGGAGACTCCTGCACTGTCTGGGACCCTCTATCCTCACCTACCCTGCAGGGGTGACCTCTTCCTTCAGAGTGGCCACGTCGGGGTTCTCCACATGTAGGTGTTATAAGCTCTTTGGTCTCAATCCCTGTCCACATGGGTAATCCCACAAGTCTGCTGCCCACACTTGGAATGTTGCTCTCAGGCCTAGGCCATGGGCCTCACCTGCATTAGGGTGCGCAGTGACTCCACATACGATTGCTCTGTGTCCAGCAGGGTCATGGTCACGTGCTTCCGCATGTCCTGTGGGGACAGGAGTAGAAGGTGAGTGGTCCTTTGTTCCCCTTAGCTACACGCAAGCTCATCTGCACACTCCGAGAGTCCATCTGATCCTTTCCCTGCCTGCTTCTCGCAGGCATAGTTTCCCAAAGGATCCTGACCTCTGTCCTGCCGGGCCTCCGCTCGGGCATTCTCTGCTGGGAACACTCCCCTGAGTCTGTCCCTGTTCTCCCACCCCAACAGGTTCTGGACAAAGACAAAAGACCAACAACAATAAACCCTCCTATTTACAAAGAAAGATGCCTGCGGCTACACCCACTCTAGGGACTGACTCTGAAAACGCCAAGTTCCAGCTTGCTGTATGAGGACATGTTCGACCTGGCTGTGTGTCGCAGCATCAGTAGACGACGCTGTCACTTCCTGCTAGAAGACACTGCAGCCCAGGGAAGTACAGTTGGTGCTAGAAGCCGCAGAGCTGGAGGTGGCAGGGTTCTCACAAGGCTGGACCCTCCCTTGCTCCAGTTCTGGGCACTTCATTTTCCCAGCCCTCTTGACCACCTGTGTGGTACAGAGTTTCTCCATTTCTTCTCTATTTTCCTTGCAGGTGCATGTGTGTATGGCGGGGGATCTGTGTGCACACATGTGCAGGTTTGATCACCCACGCATGCGTGTGTGAACACAAGAGGCCAGTGTCAGGTATCTCCCTCCATTGCTTCCCACATTAATTAATTAATTAATTAATTAATTAATTAATTAATTAATTAACTTATTTATTTTTTGACACAGAATCTCTCGCTGAGCCTGGAGTTCACCATCTCAGCCCATCTCTGCTCTCCAGCACTGGGGTTACAGACACACACTGCTGGGACACACACTGCTGGGGTTACAGACACACACTGCTGGGGTTACAGATGCACACTGTAGGGGTTACAGATGCACACTGCTGGGGTTACAGATGCACACTGCTGGGGTTACAGACGCACACTGCTGGGTTACAGAAACACTACAGGGGTTACAGATGCACACTGCAGGGGTTACAGACGCACACTGCTGGGGTTACAGACGCACACTGCTGGGGTTACAGAAACACTGCAGGGGTTACAGATGCACACTGCAGGGGTTACAGATGCACACTGCAGGGGTTACAGATGCACACTGCTGGGGTTACAGACGCACACTGCTGGGGATACAGATGCACACTGCAGGGGTTACAGACGCACACTGCTGGGGTTACAGACACACTGCTGGGGTTACAGACACACTGCTGGGTTTACAGACACACTGCTGGGGTTACAGACACACTGTTGGGGTTACAGATGCACACTGCTGGGGTTACAGACGCACACTGCTGGGCTTACAGACACACTCTCCTGGGGTTACAGACGCACACTGCTGGGGTTACAGACGCACACTGCTGGGGTTACAGACGCACACTGCTGGGGTTACAGACACACTGCAGGGGTTACAGACACACTGCAGGGGTTACAGATGCACACTACTGGGTTTACAGACGCACACTGCTGGGGTTACAGACACACTGCTGGGGTTACAGACGCACACTGCTGGGGTTACAGACGCACACTGCTGGGGTTACAGACACACTGCTGGGGTTACAGACGCACTGCTGGGGTTACAGACGCACTGCTGGGGTTACAGACACACTGTTGGGGTTACAGATGCACACTGCTGGGGTTACAGATGCACACTGCTGGGCTTACAGACACACTCTCCTGGGGTTACAGACGCACACTGCTGGGGTTACAGACGCACACTGCTGGGGTTACAGACACACTGCAGGGGTTACAGACACACTGCAGGGGTTACAGATGCACACTGCAGGGGTTACAGATGCACACTGCAGGGGTTACAGACGCACACTGCAGGGGTTACAGACACACTCTGCTGGGGTTACAGACGCACACTGCTGGGGTTACAGACACACTGCAGGGGTTACAGACGCACACTGCAGGGGTTACAGATGCACACTGCTGGGGTTACAGACGCACACTGCTGGGGTTACAGACGCACACTGCTGGGTTTACAGACGCACACTGCTGGGGTTACAGACACACTGCTGGGGTTACAGACGCACACTGCAGGGGTTACAGACACACTGCAGCGGTTACAGATGCACTCTGCTGGGGTTACAGACACACACTGCTGGGGTTACAGACACACACTGCTGGGGTTACAGACCCACATTGCTGTGCCTGGCTTTTACAATTCTGGGATTGCAAGCATAGGTGCTCACGCTTATCCTTCAAGCCGTCTCACGACCCTCTTTCTCTTTTTGAGACAGGGTCTTACATAGACCAGGATAACCTTGAATTCCCGCCCCTCCTGCCCCTCGTCCTCTAGTGCTAGGGTTACAGGGATAAGCTACCACATCTGGCTTATGGCACAGCTGGAGAGCAACCCAGGGCTCTGTACGTGTGCTAGGCAAGCACTGCACCAACTGAGCTACAATTCCAGCGAGTCTCCTCATTTTCAGAGTGGGGGCGTGAGGGAGGGCGACCCAGTCACTGACGCTTACAGAGGACCTAGAAGTTCCCCAGGGGTTGTTCGGCATCTGCACCCACATCCCGAGGAATTGACTCCTGCCTCTGTCAAGGTAAGCTCTATCCCATGGGAAGACTTTGTTAGAAGCAAGCTTGGGAATGTGTCTGGGCTTGGGCCCCTGAGGCAGGGCTCACCTGCTGCCAGCCTCAATTGTCCCCAGTCTTCTCCAGGACACCTTCCTACACAGCACGTGTCCCATGGCAGCCTCTCTGCCCTGGCAGGGACTCCACTGCCGAGCTCCATACTGACACTCAAGCCTCTAGACTGGCCCTCGGCCAGGTGTGAGGCTCACACATCTGGCTGGGCTGTTCCTAGGGCTCCAGCCATCCAGGCCTGCAGGTTCTTTGTCGTGTGGAGATTCCAGAATGAGTGCTTATGCTTGGGCATGCCTCCAGTCCCCACCACAAGAGCCCCTTAAGGCAGAGACTCCGTGAGCGGGACTGACCTTTGTCACTGCTCTGTCCGGTCCCTGGTCTGCTCGGGGACCCAAGTTCTGGGCCTACCTGGCCTCACCACTACTTACCTTTTGAATACTATTAGTATGTTTTGTTTTTTTTTTGTTGAGACGAGGTCTTGCTCTGTAGTTCAGTATACAGCCCAGGATGCCTCGGCCTCCCTCATGCTAGAGTCACAGCCCGGCATGCCCAGCTGACTGTTCACTTTTCTGGCCATGGTAAGCTCACTTCAGGTGCTGCGCCCTCTGACCTTGGAATTGAGGAATCAGCCGTGTTCCTTCATAACTGACCAGGAGGCACACCCAGCAGTGGACTCCCATGCTAAGCTCTAGTGAGGCATGAGTGACCGACATCTCCTCGGGACACAGAAGGCAGGGTTGCTCCCTCTCTCCAAGCTCTGGGTTGTATAGATGTGCCTTAGGCCCTACCTCAGAGCAGACCACTTATACTGTGTGCTTCTGGGGCTTTTCAAAACTTAAAGCAGCCCTGGGTTTCCCATGTCCACCCCTGTGCCGGCAGCTCTTGGAACACCTCGGTACCTCACAAGGACGTGTAACCTCCTGTCAGCCTTACACAGCTCCAGGACACAAGTGCTGTCAGCCACTGCACACATGAGTCAAGTCAGAGAAGTGACGTGACTTGCCTAAGACCACACGGCCAGTGACAGACACAGCAAGGCCCAGAGCCTCTGCAGCCGCCTCATGCAGAGCCTTAGGGCCCTGGCACCCCATATTTCTATTTACACTGACCGGCCACTTCAGGCCACAGAGTTCTCCAGCTCTGCTCCGTTCATCTGTGTGACTTTGGTGGCCTTGCTTCCACACTCCTTTTTGAAGTGGAATAATAACCCTTTGGTCCTGGTACCATATAAGCTTGGTGACGAGGAACAGGGAGGTGTACACACACACACACACACACACACACACACACACACACACACACACGCACGCACACAGTGGTCCTCACTGTCTCTTCTCATTTCATCTCACTGAGACTTCATGAGAAGTTTTCTGACTCTAAGACAGCCAGACCGGCCTTTGGGCCTCACGGCCACTGTCCCCTGCCCACACTCACTGGCCTGCCAGCCCCAACCTGGGTCATGGTCAGAGAAGTTTCCTGCGAGGCAGGGCTGGCGCTGGGCCTGCTGGCCGGGAGGCTGGGGTGGTAGAGGGAGCTGACGCAGCAGCAGCAGCAGCAGCAGCAGCAGCAGCAGCAGCGGCAGCAGCGGGACCTCTCCCAGCCTCCTCCCAGCCGCAAAGCACAGCGGGCTGTCATTCAGCTGTCAGGTAAAGCATAGAAAACAAGGCCAGCTCCTTGTCACTGCATGGAGCACCCTCTGCACGTGTCCAGACACGGGAGCAGTGTGTGTGTGTGTGGGGGGGGGACGGGACGATGCAGCTGTCAACCAGATCGGCAGGCCCACCTGTTCCAGGCAGGCCAGCCCTTCAGCTCCGCTTCCCTCCAGATCCCCTCACCATAGGCAGGGCCCTGGCATGGGGACCAGGGAGGTGTGGGAAGGTGGAAGAGGGTGTGGGGTACTCGTCTGTCATTAACCCAAAGACTGAGACCCTGATGTACCAAGAGTGAAGACACACACACAGAGAAGCCATGAAGGCAAGATGCCCTACAGCAAATCAAAAAGGCAGCCCAGCTATCCAGCTGCGAGCTAGGCCCTCCTGCCCAGAGACCTGGAGCAACACACACACACACACACACACACACACACACACACACACACACACACACACACCACAGTACAGCACCCGGCTGAGGGTAGCACCCTAGTCCCCATTGTGCCCAGAGCATGGAACATAGTCTCGGCCTAGACAAACATATAAAAACAAGGCAGCATCCCTGGGACCCTCCCCCTCCCCCTCCAGAAAGGCAGCTGGAGGCAGGAATGGGGACGCCACCTTTTCCACAGCACCACAGTATGACATCCCAGGCCCTGTAGTTCCAGTGCGGAGATGGTGGTAAAGGGGATGCAATGCTGGCTACCCCTAGCTACTACATACATACAGCTGTGGCCCCTCAGACCTGAGGGAGGCTAGAAATCTGGCTTTCCTGGGGACCCAGGGGACCCCAGCAACAAATCTGCTTTCACCTGATCCACTTTACAAAACAGTACTGTCCTGGGCCTTGAACCTTGGTGCCCAGCCAACCCCACCAGCGCGGCCCTCACCGTCAACCCCTCCGCCTTCATCTAAGGTCAGCCCTCCCAAAACCCAGGGTTGGCAGGCAGGCAGGAAGGCTCCTGGTGTCTGATCCAAGTCCCAGGCCTTGCTCTCCAGCATCTGCCCACGCATCCCCCCAGTATCCTGGGTCTGCGGCATCCTAGGCCAAGACCCAGGTTCCCGGCTGCCCCTCCCCCTCCCAGTACCTGGGCCTCCCCCGGCTCCTCCGTGGTGTCAGAGCCCCCGCCCCCGGCGGACTCCCCGGAGGCGGCGGCCGGGCCCAGATCGCGCATGTCTTCCAGCGCGATGGTGAACTGGGCCAGGGTCTTCACCATCTGCAGCATGCGGCCGGGCCGCCGCCGGGGCGGGCACTGCGCAGAGTCGGAGGGCCCCCTCCCACCCGCGCTCCTCCGGGGCCTGAGCCCCGCCGCGGTGGCGGTGGCGGCGTTAGTAGCAGCGTCGGTGTGAGCACAGCCGCCGGTGGCGCTGCGGCCTCCTCCGCGCCGGGAGTGCGCGCAGCGTCGCAGGGGGAGAGTCCCGCCCTCTGCGCGCCGCCCCTTATCCCGCAACAAGCCCGGCGTCTGCAGGGCCTGGCACCCCCGCCCCAGGACACAAGTCACACACACCCGCGGACAAGGGCGCCTCCACTGCTGCATCTAGAGCGCACGCACGCACGCACGCAGATTTGCACACCCAGGAGCCATGGATGAACAGAGTTAGTATAGGACAGGCCCAGGTGCTGGGTGGATCAGAGGACGCCAGAGTCAAGTGCACTCGCATTAACACTGTTACCATACAGATCCCAAATCCTGACACCCAAGGAACCTGACCCAACACCGCTCACAATCATGCGGACTTCCTTGTTCAACAACTACAGCATGGCAGAAGCAGAGAACCATGCGGGAATCAAGTTCGGATCTCTGGGAACCTCACTGGCTCCAGCTCTGGGAGGGGGACTCGGATGTGACAGAGGGGCTGTCACCCAAAGCACCCCACATTGAGTCACCCCTAACCCTACCACCACCTCACCCAGCTCAGTCAGTGTTCTGTACCTGGCTCCAACCCCTCCAGCGCCTCTTCCCCAGGACTCCCACTGGGGAGGGGCTCTGACCATCCCCCATTTGCCCTCCACCCAACTCCCTGGTGTTTGTTTAAACGTGATTCCCAGGCTCTCTCCTCAAATCCCAGGAAAAGGCCAGACCCTACCCTAGACCCACTTAAGCAGGACTGGAGTGTGGTGATGAACAACTCCCCGTGGGCACTGGGAAGGGGTCCACACAGCCTGCGGCTCTGCCTTTACCCTGGCTAGCTCCATCTCCTTCAACACTGGGGATTCCCACACTCACCAAGCTGCCAGCTGACTCCCTCTCTCCAACCTGTTCTCTCTGGAGTTCCTGAGCAATGGGATACTGGACCTCCGTCACCCAAGCCAGGCTTAACCTCGTTCCCCACTCGTTCCCCACTCGTTCCCCACTCGTTCCCCACTCCCACGCCCTTCTTCTGCACCCTAGCCACCCTTCTCCCTCGCCTCAGGGCCTTGACCTAAGCCGGTTCCCTCCCCTAGCAAACAATGCCTTTTCTTTTCCTTTAAGACCAATTTCTACACACACGTCACCTCCTCTAGGAAGCCCTCCTGGGTCCTCAGGTTAGGTCTTGTGTGTCTTTTCTGTGTTCTTTGGTTTTCCTTATCCAAATCACAGACAGTCTGCAATAATACATTTGGACAATGACTAGATTGACGCCCCTCTCTGCCTGGAGACTGCTGGCTCCCTGAGGTAAGGGACCAAGGCACTGAACACATGTGACACATGGTTGGTTAACAGACCAGTCTCCAATAGCTCTCCTCCGTTTTCCACCCAGCCTGTGCAAGTTTCCGGGCATCCATCTGGCATGGAGGTCCCTGCATCCCTGTATCCAGTTCTGCCTCCTCAGCCCCACTCTCCAAACAATTCAGCCCTCCAGCTCCACACTCCACACCCTGTGCTAAGGAATTTTTTTAAAGATTTACTTATTTTTAATTTATGTGTATGAGTGTTCTGCCTGCATGTGTGCCTTCCTGGTACTGCAGAACCAGGAGAGGGTGTTGGATCCTGGCACCCAAACCAGAGACCTCTGTAAAAGCAAGTGCTCTTAAATGCTGAGACATCTCTCCAACCCAGGAGCTGTTGTTTTTTAACACCCTCCCTCAAGGTCTCACGTAGTCCAGGGCGGCATTAAACTGGCTATGTAGTGGAGACTGACCTTGAACTTCTGATCCTTCCCTAAGCACCTCCCCACTCTGGGATTACAGGCATGCACTACCATGCCTGGTTTGTATCCTGCCCAGGGTTGAAACCAGGGTCTTGTGCATGCCACGCAAGTACTCCGCCGGCTTAGTTCCTCCCTAGCACCCTCTAATTTTTGCTACCAGTACTGAAGATTGAAGTTGAAACCTCACGAATGCCAAGCAAGGGACAGGTGGGCTTTCTTCCTTTCTTCCTGGGGATGTTGTTTGTTTGAGCCTGGGTCTTCCCATGTAGCTCAGGCTACCCTCAAACTCATGATCCTGCTGGGGATGTAGCTTAGTACAAGAGGGCTTGCCTAGCCTGTGTGAGGTCATGGGTCCATTCCCCAGAACTTCTGTTTTTGTTTTTGTTTTTAAGTGCTGGGCTGGAGAGATGGCTCAGAGGTTAAGAGCACTGATTGTTCTTCCAGAGGTCCTGAGTTCAATTCCCAGTCACGACATGGTGGCTCACAACCATCTGTAATGAGATCTGATGCCCTCTTCTGAGCAGGCATACATGTAGGCACAACACTATATGCATAATAAATAACAAATCTTTTTTTAAAATGTGCTTATAACTTTTGCCTGTGCAAGATGGCATACATCTATAATCTCAACACTTGGGAGGTAGAGGTAGGAGGCTCAGCAGTTCAAGGTCATCCTCAACTATATAGTGAGTTCAAGGCCAGCCTAGGCCATAAGAAGCCCTGCCTCAGAATAAATAAATAAATAAATAAAATCAAACAACAAGCTTGGCATAAATGAATTATTCTCAGCTACTCTTGAAAGGGCAGGCCATGGGGCTAGGATCCCAGGGCAGTAGGCACAGCACAGACGGATCAGAGCCAATAGGGAATGGACAATCTGTGGAGTCCGCTCTGTCCCCTGGGCCCCCCTGGATCAGAATAACCATTCATTTAGGAGGGAGTGTGACAGGCTCTTTTCTGGTCCCTGGACTGGGAGCCCAGGACCTCCTAGGAATTCAGCACATTCACCCCTCCCCCAAGAGATCTCAAACTCTACCTTAGGTTGGAGCCAGGAACCAGCTGCATGCATCTGCCTTTTCCCTTCCCAAGGAACTGCCTTGCCCGTACTTCCTCCCCACAGCTTGCTCCTCCTCCTCATCATCAGGTGGGCATGTTGGGGGAAGACAGAGAGAAGGAGTATGCCCATGTCCAGGGTGGGCAGCCAGGTCTCACAGATGGCCTGAGGGCTGCCTGCCTGGTCACTGCAGACCCTTAGGCCACCTTTGGCTACCAGAGTACCTCCTCCCATTCGGCCCTCTCAAACTACCTGATTTCTTCTTAGCGGCTGGGAGGCAGTACATAGTGTGGGAGTCTTAGCAAGGTACAGCTCAACCATCCATCCATCCATCTATCCATCCATCCATCCATCCATCCCTCACCGGTGCCAGCAAGACGGAATTCAGAAGAATGGATCCACCCCTGCTGGCTTCTGGGCAAAGCAGAGGTAGTAACCTCTGCATGGGTGAAAGCGCTCAGGCCTTGAACACAGTCTGGAGCTCAAGAGACACAGGAGGACACGGGTGCAGGGAAACAGAGACTCTGGAGCCCTCTGCCCCATGACAGGTGGGACTTAGCACCAAAGGCACAGCGTGCTGTGTTGCTTCATTAACGGTGGCTAATGGGATCCAAGCCTGTTGCCAGGGCACTGGGCGCCAGTGGGGCAGATAACTAAATGGAAGTCGGGAAGGGAACAGCAGCCCAGGCTGAGGCAGCGTATCACTGGAGCTCTTTCAGGACGGCGTCTACCAAGGTGAGGCAGAGGGCACCGCGTACCCAGGACCCAGTAGTGCAGGTATGGTTCTGTGGTTCCTGAGTGCCAAGCTGGGGCGTTGATTTAATCCCACTCTTCCCTGACCCCCTGAGACAGGGTTTCTCTGTGTAACAGTTCTGGCTGTCCTGGAACTTGCTTTCTAGACCAGGCTGGCCTGGAACTCTCAGAGAGCTGCTTGCCTCTGCTTCTAATCTCTGCTAGGACTACAGGCGTGCACCACTGCCCAGCTTAACCCCCCTCTTAGAGCGCTGCAGATGTTTGGAGCAGGTCACAGAACGGTTTTGTTCTTTACATTTGCTATTCTTTATTTGTTATATCTGGGGGTGGGTGGGCACATGTCCATGTGTGGAGGTCAGAGGCAACTTTTGGGAATCCATTCTCTCCTCTCACCTGGGGACTGAACTTGGGTCTTCAGGCTTGGCGGCAAGAGACTTTACCTTCTGAGCCATCTTGGCAGTCCCGAGAAGAGTTTTTGTAAGCATGAAGGCCTGTCCTCTTTCCATACTGCATCCATATTCCACCCCAAACATCTCCCTACCACCACCAAAGAGCTGCCCACATCCTCTTTGGAGGGGAAGGCCAGAGACAGGAGTCAGGAAAGGAAATGACCAACACTCACTCCAGGCCAGACCACTGGGCACCCTGGCTCTGAGAGCACCCTTCTGTCAACCCAGGGAACCCCTGGCTCTCCAGCATCCACCAGGCCTGTTGACAGCTTCCCCATCTCTGAGGGAATCCCGGCATCCTGCTCACCTGCCTCCAGACGCCATCCCCTCCACTGGGCTCCTGAGTCCTACCAAGACCCTGTTTGCGGTCCTGCAACTACTGTTGGACCAGTTATGATAAAGGTTAGACGTAGGACGGACTGACGAAAGAGTGTGGGAGTGGCAGAATGCTGGAATGCGGGAAGATGAATGGAGAAGCCAATGATGCTAGATCACCAGCTCAGTGGCAGACGCACACGTGACTGGCTGCACTCAGAGGATGAGCAGCTGCCCTGAGTTTTATGTCATCTCCTGGTTGATGTGTTCCATAAACACTTACTGAGCACCTACCAGATGCCAAGCGTCATGATAGGAGTTTAAAGATACAGTCTTGGGCTGGGGAGACGGCTGGGCAGGTGAAAGTACCTGCCCACTCAAGCCTGATGACTTAAGTTCCGTCGCCAGGACCCACATAAAATGCCAGGCGGGGTAGCATGTACCCGAAGTCCCAGCACTCCTATGGTGAGATGGGGGACGGCGCAGAAATGAGACGTTACCCGAAGCTCAAAGGCCCACTAGCCTGGAGTGCACAGCGCAGTATAAAGAACAAGAGAGAGCCTGCCTCAAAAAGGTGGAAGGAGAGAGCTAACTCCAAATCCTTGTCCACCGCCCTCCACATGCATGCTGTGTCAGGGGCACACTCCACCCCACCCCCAACACAAGATGAAAGAAAAGGAGGAAGGAAAAGGGATGTGTATGTCCTGTTGGGTGCCACAGCATTGTCTTGTTAGGAAGACAGGACCTGAAAGAAATGGCAAAAGACAAAGGCAGCTGGGGATGTAGCCCAGCTGGCGGAGTGTCTGCTTCACATGCTTTATAAAGCTCAGGGTTCGCCGGGCGGTGGTGGCGCACGCCTTTAATCCCAGCACTCGGGAGGCAGAGCCAGGCGAATCTCTGTGAGTTTGAGGCCAGCCTGGGCTAACAAGCGAGTTCCAGGAAAGGCGCAAAGCTACCCAGAGAAACCCTGTCTCAAAAAAAAAAAAAAGCTCAGGGTTCGATCCCCAGCATCACATACACCTGGCTGCCATGGTGGCACTGTGGAGGCAGGGGGATCAGCATTCAAAATCATTCTCAATAAAGGTGGAGACCAGCCAGAGATACATGAGACCCTGTCTCCAAAAGAGCAAAGGCAGTTCCCAAGAGAGACACACAGTTCTGGAAAGTAGGTTGCTGTGGGATAATCCTCTTGTGCACTGTAAAGATTTGTCACTCAAATTGGTTTAATAAAACGCCGATCGGCCAGGAGAGAAATGTCTGGCTACAGTAGGGCTCACCAGGCTGCATGGGAAGGCCTCCAGTCTCTCCTGGCTGCCCAGCTGTCTTTGTCGAGAGATCTCGGACCCTGGAGCTGCCCACACTGGTACATGGGGAGCCTGATGAGGATTCCTCACCGTCACAAACGCTGTTTGCACAGCTTTCAGGGCCAAGGCTCACCACTGCTTTTCAAGTGCTGGCTCCTTAATCCCCAGCTGACATCAGGGCTCAATTTCTTGTAACTCTCCCAATTTATAAACCAGGAAAGCAACACTCAGGGACACCATCTTGTTGGTAAAGGCTAGGGTCCCTCTGGCTGTCTTCAGGTCCCTTTCCTGTGGGGTCGAGCCCACTGGCACTTCCCAGGTTCACTGGCTATCCAAGTCACCTTTCTCTGGTCTCTTCTACTCCAAAGCAAAGATATAAACAGGTTCCCCTGAGTCAGGAACATTTTAGAGGTGAACACAATGCTGTCCACAGGCCATGCCAGGATCAAGGATGATAGTCCCTGGGAACCCAGCCCTGGCTCCTAGCCCAGACAGACTGTCTGGTGTTCCTGGCCTCTCCCATATCCATGAAGAGTTGGTACTACAGGTTCCCAGTCTAATAGGCCATCCAGTTCCCTAATGGCTACAACCTCCTCTGCTCCTCAGAGTCATCAAAGAGACAAAAGTTCCCAAAGGATTTCGTGGTATGGAGACCAAGACAGCTGGCGCTGGAGCCATATATTTCAGGTTCAAATCTTCACTGTGCCATTTACTTAGGGTGTGGGTTGGATAAGACACTTCATTTCCTGGGCCTCTACCCCCTCCCCCACTTCCCACCACCCATCCATTCTCCTTGGCTTCCTTGGTCACTTCCTGCTCTCTGTAGGCCCTCCCTTCTGGGAGGAGAGGCTTCTCAAGGTTTCCCAGTTCCCAGGCCTCATAGGCAGCTGGAAGGGAAGTGTCCAAGCCACAAAGCTCTCTGGGGACCAGCTGCTCCGGGTGGGGCTCTGTGACTGATGGCAAGGAGGGCTCCTTCCAAGGCAGAGTCCTGCACAGAGGTCTATGTGCGACTGGAGACAGGACTATCAGTGACATTAAGTGTGTCCCATTTGTGTGGCCATCTATAGACATGACCGCACAGCAGTCTGGGGTAAGCGACCATGTGGTTCTGTGGTAGAGGTTAAAAACTGAAGGGCCGGGCTGGAGAGATGGCTCAGGGGTTAAGAGCCCTGACTCTTCTTCCAGAGGACCCAAGTTCAATTCCCAGCACCCACATGGCAGCTCATACCTGTCTGTAACTCCAGTTTCAAGGAACTCTGACACCCATGGCAAAAACACAAATGCACATTAAAATAAAATAAAATATACTAAAACAAACAAACAAACAAACTGAAGGGTCTTTCAATAATGACCCAAACTGGCCAGATTCAAAATAATCACAAATAGAATATTATAACAACAACAGATGGGCTAGTACTCATAAAGCATTTACTATATCCTAGACATGGACTGACTCACTTTCTTTCTTTCTTTTTTATTATCTGACTGCAATGAGGAACATGGCTTTTTTTTTTTAAAGATTTATTTATTTATTATGTATACAGCACATATGACTGCAGGCCAGAAGAGGGCACCAGATCTCATTACAGATGGTTGTGAGCCACCATGTGGTGACTGGGAATTGAACTCAGGACCTCTGGAAGAGCAGCCAGTGCTCTTAACCTCTGAGCCATGTCTCCAGCCCCTGAGTCACTTTCTTATCACAGCTATCCCAGGTCATTGTGTCAGGTGACATTTGAAAAGCTAGTGTCCACCTGATAGGATCATCTTCCAGTATGCTGCTGATACTCTTCTCATATGGGGATGAGGCCTAGAGCCCTTCAGACTAGGTGGACCTTTGTTATTCTCTTGAACACAGGAGACAGGCAGAAGCGAGGCCACACCTAAAACTTGTTCTGTCCCCCACCCAGAGCTTCTCACATGCTAAGGAAGCAATCCACTACTGAGCTACTTTTATTTGTTTTTATTTAATTTATTTATTTTAAAAGGTTTATGTTTGTTTATTACACACACACACACACACACAAAAAAAAAAACCAACAAAACCCACGAATGTTTTGCCTGCATGTATGTATGTACACCACACGAATGCCCGGGGCTCTCAGAGGCCAGAAGAAGGTGTTGGATCCCCTGGAACTGGAGTTATGGACGGTTGTGAGCTACCATGTAGGTGGGGGGACCCAAATCCAAGTCCTCTGCAATAGCAACTAGTCCTCTAAACTGCTGAACTATGCCTCTGGCCCCTATTATTTATTTTTTGAGAGAGGATCTCACTATGTAGCTTTGGCTAGCCTGGAATTCATAAAGATCCTCCTGCCTCTGCCTACCAAGTGCTGGAATTAAAAGTGTATGTTTCCAAACCTGGCTTCCTCTAGCTTTTAAAAACAGTATTTTTTATTTTGACACAGGGTCTCATTAAGTTGCCCAAGTTAGCCCTGAACTCATCTTTTAGCCATGGCAGGCCTTGAACTTTCCTACCTCAGCCTCCTTGGTACCTAGAATTACAGGCTGTGCCATGAGGCTTGGCAGCCTGATTGTTCTGGAAGCCTAGCCTCCATCTTGGGAGGCAGCCCAGGCCACATGCCCTATATAGGCAGGTATTCCAACTGACAGCTCTGCTGAGGCCCCAACCAAACATCAATAGTAACTGCTGGAGATGAACGGTCCTCCATAGGGACTCCAGCCCAGGCACCACCTGATACCAGTGTATGGAGTGAGAAGAACGGAAGTCCAGTGAGGCAGACTACAAGGGGCAGAGCTCGGACACGGAGCTCTCGGCATACTGACAGAGAAATGAAGCCAGGATGATTTCTGCATGGACCCACTTTTCATCTGATGGCCCACAGGGGTCTGGCTGAGATCCCAGCATGGGCAATAGTAGAAAACCAGAGACCCACGGGCTGTAAGGAGCAAGAGGCAGCCCTCCCTCCCCAGACTGGGGCTCCAGCTTGCCTTCTGCTGGCTAAACCTGATTGGCTCATCTCTCAGCCCAGAAGAAAACCCTGACCACCACACTCGCGGCTCATCCCAGACCCCAGGGCATGGAATATACCGCCATGTCCTCAATGGGGACTTGTACAGCTAGCTGATTTTTTTTTTTCCAGACAAGGTTTCTCTCTGTAATTTTGGTGCCTGTCCTGGATCTCACTCAGTAGACCAGGCTGGCCTCGAACTCAGAGATCTGCCTGGCTCTGCTTCTTGAGTGCTGGGACTAAAGGCGTGCACCACCACCGCCCCGCGCTAGCTGATGTTTAATGAGGTAGTTTTCTGCACTGCCCTATGTATGCCTCGTGCTATTCCCGAGCACCCTGTGATAGCTCCCCAGCCCGTTCCTCCACATGCTACAGATCTACACCTTGCCTGTCTTGCCCTAGGGGGCTACCCAGGACCCCAGAAGACAATAACAAAACCTGGGAGCACCTGTCTGCCTTGTCCCAGGAGCACCAAGGTCTAAAAAAGAGCCAGTTCCCACAGGTGTGCATTGACATCACGTTACAGATGAGGAAAGAGAACTTCAGTGGAGTGACCTAAGCTAGGAGTCATCTCCAAGCAAACGGCGTAGCAGAGCAGTTGAGTGATTTCACCAGGTTGCAGAGCACATAAATGAGAAATCAGGCCAAGCCTAGGGCACCCTGAATTAGGCAGTGGGGGTGGGAGCTGTATCCTCTTTCCTGGATGGCTAAGAAATGTATGCCAATAGAAGGGAAGTCTCAACGTCTGCCTGCCCCCAGGGCTACGTATATAATAGACATACAGTAGGGACATACGTCTATGGACTGGCCTTCTTGGTGTGTGACTCTGGTTCCCCTTCTGTAAACAGACGAGGGAGGCATGAAGGTTCAAGTGGGCTCTAAATTCCCCCATAAGGTACCCTAGAGAAGATGAGGTCATATGCAGAGAAAGGTACAGCTGATGAAGCCCAAGCAAGGAACTGGGGCTCCAGGGCTGCACTTCCATCAAACACCCATAGGTGGCAGCAGAGGCCCGCAGGACTGGGATTGTAGGGTATGTGGCTTGAATTTAACCGCCGTGATTTTTTTTTAAAGTGTTTTTTTTTTTTTTTCCTTTTTGTGTTTCTGTCACCCTGCCCCCTTCAGTTTCAAGAAGATACTGCTGAACCTTCTAGGCTGAGAAGGAAACGTTTCTTATCCCAGATAATAGTCAGAAGCGGAAGATGGGGGCTAGAGGGTTACGTCAGACCTCAACAGATGTGAAAAACAGCTGAAGAGCTGGTCCATTCTGAACTCAGTCTTCTCTGCCCATTTCGACCTCTCCCTCCCACTACTTTACAGGTACTGAGCCAAAGTCATACCTGAGTGTGAGGCTGCCCTAACCTTGGTGGTGGGAGCAGGACTTGCTAACTCTGGCAAGTTCCTATGTTAGGGACCCCCAGGACATACCTGCTAGCCCTGCACATACGCCTGTTCCTTGCCTTGGCTCAGAACCCCACGATGTGATGACCTCCCCTA